TACTAAGAGCCGTCAGAGACAAGAAACAGATCACTTACAAGGAACACCCATCAGAATTACAGCAGACTTCTCGGCACAAACCATCAAATCACGAAGAGTGTGGGGGGAAATAATTCAAGCTTTGAAAGATAATAATTTCCAGCCAAGATTGATATATCCTGCAGAACTATCCCTGGAAATTGATGAAAAAACAAGGTGCTTCCAGGATAAAGAGGAACTAGGGGAATATGCAACCACCAATTCAACTCTACAAATACTGCAAGATATTCTAAAAAAGAAAAATACAAAGAATCCAGAAATAGTGGCAGAGAGGCCACAATGAATGGAGCAGAAAACAAAATGAAGAAGACAAACTGACAACTAATGACAGAAAAAGAGCTCAACAGAAATGAGGCAGAGAAGATTGGATGATAGGAACAGCTATTTTGGAGAAAATAAGACATCATAATAGCTAGTGCTGATTTTAAAGTCCCATCAAGCATTTATTCTTCTGTCTCCATCAGTCTTAACAGGCTGTCTCTTATTGGATTTTATTATATGTGATAATATAGGCAAAAACTTTTATAGACAAGGAGATTATACAGAAACCGTTGTTCATTTTCTGATAGTTGGTTCTAAATACCCTGTAATACTGTCATTCCCTTGAATGGTTTTACATTGTCTTGATATGTTTGGTGCTACAGTATACTAAGTTATACTCAAAGATTTCAAGTAAAGACACATTATGGTAACTATTTTTATTTCGGGATGTCTTGTGGTGAAACACTATTTTGCTTAAATGGTTGTTTTGACCTGCGCTGTTTTGTTATTATGCCCTCTTATATCTCAAACTCTTTTTAAAAATTATTTACTTTATTTTTTTTAATTAAGGGAAAAATAAAAAAGCAGGATATATTATTATAGTAACCCACCTTGATTTCCTATTAACTTGATTTGAAACCCTGTATAGCCCTTACCATCTTACTTTGATTGATAGTACCAAGTTCGAAAGTATAGGCAACAACTGTAAAGACAATAAGATTCATTATGACGCCCATTCCGGTTGACTATTATCTTCTTTTAAAGCCCTATAATGTCTCCAATGTTTTGCTTTTATTCTTTACTGTTTTGTTCAATTTTATTATAACTGATGATATAGGCAATTCTTTTTAAGACAGCAAGAGCAGTATGGTAACCATTGTTGATCACCTAGTATTTTGTTTTTACATTATCTATTATGTTCATCCTTTTGATTTGACTGACTCTGTTCTATTATGTCACATTTGGTTTTACTCTCTTCAATAAAAAGTAGTAAGAACGGTGGGAGTAATAAAACCCAAATTGTATAATTGTCATTGTACAAAAGAAACGAAAAGAAAGTGCTCTAAAGAATATAACCGCACGTATATTTAAGTGTATAAGATAGATAACCATATTACTGAGTTTTGTTGGATCATTGAACAAAATTGCTTCCAGTCTCACTGTTTGAAAGTCCACTTTATATGCTTTAATTTTGTAGCTTGAACAACTATTCCTAAGATAACCATATGTAATCTATTAACTAGTGATTTCCTATTGTTTATTTTTTCTGAAATTCTGTATAACTTGTACCCTATTTTTTTTCTTCTTAACTTAATAAAAAAAAAAAAAAGAAAGAAAATGAGGTCTGGGTGTGGCTGTTTCAGTGACAGAGCCCCTCTGAGTTTCATCTCAAATACTGAGAAACAAGATCCCCTCCAAAAAAGCCTTCTAAAATTAATTTTAAACAAAACTTCATAATGAAACATTGTGAACAAACAAAAAGCCAGTATGATGAATCCCTATCTGTTTCTCCAAAATCTGTTACTGAAACAAGCTTGACCCTTTTTAGTTTCCCCTACATCCTCATCACTGGATTGTCTCAAAGTGAATTTCAGATATTATCATTAAATAATGTTAGCTAAAAATAACATCTCTCAAATACTTGATTAATATCAAATATTATTTTTCTTTTTATTTTAATTAGGACCCAAATAAAATCTACATACAACATTTGGTTAATAGGACCCAAGGGCCTCCTTCCTTGTGTGTAATCTGTTACCTTTTTTCTTACCATGTTTTTGTTGATGAAATCATGTCATCTGCTCTATAAAGTTTCTTGCATACTTTTTGTTGCTTGAGATTTTAAAAATACATTATTTATATGACTACCTGGTAAGAGAGATCTTTTCCACACAGCACGTGAGTTAAGTATGGTGCAGGTAAAGGAATCAATTTTTCCAAATTCAAGGGAGTCACGTGTGTAGAACCCAGAAACCTACCCCTTAGACCAGGAGTTCTTCCTACCTGAAGGCAGGAAGGACTTTTATTTCATACGTTAAACCAGGACTGAAACTTCTCCAGAAAACTTGGAGAAGTTTGAATAATAAAGAAATAGGCAGTCATCAGCACAATGTCACAAACACTTCATAATTTCCGCAGGGCGACCCTGGTAAACGGGCGGCGCCTGCAGCCTCCTCAGGAGGGAGCCCTCTGCCCCAAGTGACTATGGCAGTCGGGCGCCTGGAGGGCGCTCAGGTTTATTCTTTCATGCCAGTCACACATCTGAGCACTTCTGTGTCTTATGGCATAACTTTGGGTGTAACATTTAGTTGCTTTGTGATTTCACATATTCAGTGATCCTCCAGAACAAAGGCAAACTAAGCTGTGTGCTTAACTCAAGTGCTGAAATGGCTTTTTTTTAAAAAAATGAGATGTCTCTTATTTTTCACTGCCACCTACTGGTGCCTGATGTTTTTAACTAAAACCTTCAAGTCTACCTGCCAAGGGGACTTTCACAGACAAAATAAACCAAATGCTTTGAAGTCACTCAAGTTTCTTTCAAATGATTACATCTACATTGATGGGCAGAGCCACCTTAAATTTTAAAACAAAAATTACAAACATCTTAAAAAGTTTACTGTCCATTGCTGTACCTGTAAGCATTGTAAAGGCTGTTAGTTGAACTCAGCATCTCTAGTGCTTATAAGTAGCTCTGTACTGAGACATAATACTTGAACATCTTCACATGGTTATACTACGGTGAGCTGATATAATGAGTCGTTAATCAAATCAGGCTAATTGTTTTAATCTCTTCAATATTTTATGTAGGAATTTTGTGCTCTCTAGTCACCCTGAAACATACGTATGACCAGAACTACAGCAAATGTTTAAAAAGCAGTAGGCACATTGCCATTAATTCCCACCCACACACTTCCCCTTGCTTTAAGCACACCTGTTTTGTTCATGCCTTTTTCCGAACAGTTCTGGACGCTTTGTGTCTTTAGCTGTGCTGTCGTGGCTGCCTTGACGTCCTGATCAACCTCGATGTTTCTTTCATGGACATTTTGACACCGAGGAAGCATTAGAAGTTGCAGTGACATTCTGTGGGGGAGGACACACTGTCCTGTCGTTGAGCTTGCGTGTCGCATGTCACACAGCCAGTGTTCACTTTTTCTTTAAAAAGTCAAAACTTTCAATACTGCTTCAGAAAGCGGCCAGAATGATGGAATTCCCATTTTGGAAGTCAGATAGAGTAAAGGGTACGGAGGGTGACGTCTTTTATTGCACTAAAATGTAAAAACTTACTGTATATGCTGATCACTCCTTGCACTGTAGATCACTTGTTACCCTGCTGTGCTGAAGAATGATGATTCTTCTCCTGTCTTTGGTACCCTTGATTTCCCACATCCTTTTCTTCCACTGGCTTCCTAGTCTCTAGTGTACGGTCCCGCTATTTGGGGGAGTGCCTGGGAAGTGAGAACATGTCTTTCTTTCCATGTCTGGCTTATTTCACCGAATAAGCTCCAGTTCTGTGCACTTCCTGCAAATGGCGGGCAGTCGTTCTTTTTCCCCTATGGCTGGAGTACTGCACTGAGGGTATTATGTAATTTCCTTTATTCACTCAGCCACCAATAGGTATCTGGGTTGATTGTGCATTTTAGCTACTGCGAATGGTGCTGTAATACGTACACCAGTGCAAGTGTCTTTCTGATATGACTTCATCTCCTTTAGAAACAGACCTAGTAATGGAATTACTGTAGCACAGGCAAACTCCATTTTTAGTTTTTTGAGCAGCCTTACTCTTATTCATAATGGCTGTGCTAATCTGCACTTGCACTGTAAGAGTGGAAGGGTTTTCATCAGCACTTGCTACATCTTTGTGATGACAGCCATCCTAACTGGTAGATTGGTCTCTTGGTTTTGGTTTGAATTCCCAGAAGGTTAGTTAGATTGGGCATTCCTTCTCATACTGCTGTCCATTTGTATGTCTTCTGAAAAGTGTCATTACAGCTCTCTAGCTCATTTTTAAACTGGATTATTTATTTGCTACTTCCTTTGCCTGTGTAAGATTCTTAGGTTGGTATCATCCCACTTGACTATTTCTGCTTTTGTTCCCTATACCTTTGGAGTCTTATCTTAAAAAAAAAGTCAATGCCTTCACTAATGTCTTTAAATGTTTCCTCTATGTTCTCCTCTAGCAATTTCTTAGCTTCAGGGTAGTTAGATCTTTTGACTTCTGTACACAGTCAGAAAGAGAACTAGTTTCATTCTTTACATGTATATTCAACTGTCAGCATTACTTCTTGAGGAGACGGTCCTTTCTTATGTTCTTTGTGCCTTTCTCAAAAATCACCTGGGTGTATCTACATGACTTCTCTAATGTGTTCCATTGGTCTTTGTGTCAGTTTTTATGCCACTATCATGCTGTTTTTGTTACTACAGCTTTGGAGTATGTTTTGAAGTCACTACACTTTTTTTTTTTTTTGGTATGGGGATTGAACTTATGACCTCAAACTTGCCAGTGAATCAACATTTTTATACTTATGCTTTGTGGTTTCGCCTAAATTTTATCATTCTTACTAAAAACAGACATTCACTATAATAATTTGAGTATATTTAAAAACTTGCAATATATGTGTAAAATAGAACATTAACAGAAAGATATACTCTACAGGATTAATTTTATCATATAGATAGCATTTAAGAAAATTAAGACTCACTTTAACTTTTATACTATTTAATAGTTTTGAAAGAATGAATGTGACTAATTTAAGACATTTATTTGGTTTTGTGGGGAGATTTCAAGGATGAACTAATGTTACACAAAAACTGTTAAAATATTTGACTTAAAAATGCTGCTCTTGTTACACATTTTATTAAACTGATGTCTCTGTATAAACTGTCCCATAGCAAACAATATAGCATTCTTTTTCAGCCTCACAGCTGACTGCACAGGCTCAAAGAACAGTATTTACTATTTGCTGCCTGAACCATTCCTCGGTGTGGGCAGTAGCTGCGCAGGTGGTCATTTAAAGCTGGAGTCCAGGGCCAGAGCTGTGGACTGGCCTCGAGAGACAAGGCTCAGGCTCACACCGCTTCTGCACACACTCTGCGCCCAGGGCCCGGCACGCAGGTAACTGCTGTGCTAACCTCGCACACATTCCCAGGACCTCTGCAGCCTTTCCCCTTTGGGGTTTCTGTACATTCAACTGTTTTCAGAACTTGTAGGTTTAAAAAAATTTAATAAATGACAGACTTTTTACTGGTTGATCATCATCAATTGTGTTTCAAAAAGTTGGTGGTAAAGTGGTAACTGTTCCAACGTGTATGAAGCAGAATGCAAGACATGGAGCCATCGTTATAAAGAAAAAGATGGCACGAATACGCATTCGTCGGTTACATTTTTACACATTACAGCTCTAAAGTGACCTTTATAAGAAAGGAAATACTGGGGAAGAGGAGATGGGTAAAGGGATAAAAACAAAACTCTTCCAAATCCAATACACCATAAACCTAATAAATTTTTGGAAAATGCAGTGTTTTTATTCATTAACCTCTTTCGGAAAGCTGAAATTTTTAGCATTCTATCCACTGAATTATAACTAAACTAGAGGTTTCAGTTTTGTGGAAACGCAAGGAAAAATTCTGTGCCATTTTGAATCAAAACAACTCAGCAGTTAAAAGATCCCATTTTAGATTTATATACTTGATTTTCTTATAAAAATAACTTCAGTTATGCCAACATTTATCTGAAAAAGGCAGCCTCTGACATTAAGTTAGTGACTGAAACAACCACAGTATCATTATGAGCTACAGTAAAATAAATCTATAAAATTGCTTTTCTTACTGGAATAATAGCTTGGAGAAGAAAACCACAGCTACAGAAAAATCAATGTAAATAAATAGAGAACAGTAAATATGTAAATAAGATGCCTCAAAAAATGAACTGTCATTGAAAACATTTCTATGAAAGCAACTTCAGAAAACAAATGCACACACATTTTAAAGCCACAGAACCCCACTTGCTATGAGGGTGACTCAGAGGCCCGCTTACCCACCGTGAACACCTCTCCCTCAGCTTTTCTGGGTGGTAAGGCAGTCGGTAAGATTTTTATACTTACAGTTGCACAAAATTTTCTCAATTGCAAAATATAACCCCCTTCAACTTTTAAAGCACAATCGGGAATTTCTTTACTACGTAACAGCATGAGTAGGGTATCATTTGAGCGCTTTTGATAATCAAGTTACATTTCTCCACTACGTGAACGGGCTCACGGGACAGCTGAACATCAGGACATTTTTAGGGGCCATCATTTGAGGCCAAGGACTGAGTTTGGCTTGTGATCTATTTTTGTATGGCCCTGAGCTGAGAATGGGTTTTTATGTTTTTTAAAAGCGTCTTTAAAAACACAGATGTGACAAAGAAACAAATACAGTGCACAAAACCTAACACATCTGTGACCTGTCCTTTCTGAAAAAGTTTGCAGACCTTTCACTGTATCAATGCGTGGACTTCAGGCAGTGCAGCTTCTCTCAGTATAAGAAGACAATGTTCATTAACTCCCACCACGAATGCAGTTAACATTCTTAAAAGGACTCTTCTTCTGATGCTATCTTCAACATTAAAGTTCATCCTGCATTGTAATATAAAGGTATTCAAACATGTTTAGCTTTATAATATTTAAAGTATGGCACAACATACACTAATCAACATTTTCAGAAACATTTAATACCCTTATTTAGCGGGTTATCACATAAAACACACCTTGCCTAACAGTAAAAAAGACAGGAAAATCTAGTTTGTACTTGCCTGTAGCAGACACCAAAAACTATAGTTTTACAGTGGTACCTTGGCTCACAAACTTAATTCATTACACAACTTTGGCCACAAACCAAATCAGATGAAAACTGAGTCAACTTTTCCCATACAAACATTGTTACCTACCCATTACACCTGACTAGTGAATTTGATTCAGTTCGGGACCAAAACTGTAGAAAGAAGTCTGTGGACAAAGGCACTGTTGTATATACTTCCTAAGTCATAACTAGTATGTTCCTTAACTTGATTTTCATTAATGATATTCTGGGTTAGGGTTATTGTTTTTTTCAAATACTTAACTTGAAATAGTCACAAATTTTAAAATAAATTGAAAAAATACAGCCAAAACAGTAAAAAACATGTTTGCTAAGTAAATACGTTCATAACTGTCTCCGATTTTTTAGAGTTGAACAAAAGTTGCACAGATTCTTCCACAATGTCTTAGTTCTGAACTGGGTGATGGCAGAGCCTGGGTTCTAATTTGGTTCCATAAAGCCACATTTTTCTAACCTTCTCCAGAAGCTGTGCTGTTCTTTGGCTAACAGGATGAGAACCCAAGATACTTCACCATGACTGTATTAAACTCCATTTAATACATGGACTTGTGGTCTCAGTATTTATTAATAACACTGACTTATTTTAAAAAGGCAAAAGATGAATGGGATTCTGAGGAATAAGAATTAAACTGATTAAAAATTCAAAGAGATCAATATGAGTCTCAAAATGCATTCTAATATACTGAAGAAAAAAGGGATATTTACTAGCTAAGATGTATTAAGGCTTTAGTATAAAACCATGTTTTCTTTGTATCTGAACAAAATTTGATGGCCATAAATGACGATTTTTTTTTTAACAGCTTACATTTTACATACCATAAAATTCCTGCAGAGGAACACAGGTTTCTAGTATATTGAGAGTTGTACAACTATCATAAAAACCTTAGTTTAGAACGTTTTACACACTTCAAAAAGATACTTTTTACACATTAATGGTCACCTTGACTTCGATCTTTTCTGTTTCACTCCAAGAACCACTAATGTACCTTGTGTCTTTATGGATGAGTCTGTCCTGAACATCTGATACAAACAGGGTCCTGCACTGTGTGGCCTGTACTATGGGGCCTTCACGGTTCACTTAGGAAGCCTATTAAGGCTCTTCAAGCTGCGGCAAGGATAGCTCATTTCTTGTTAGGGCTGAAGAACACACCCTAGTATGGTACGGACAGAACACACTTTGATCAGCAGCTGATGGACACCTGCATTTAAGGTTTTTGGTATTCTGAATGGTGCTGCTGCGAACATCTATATGGGTGTTTTTGTACTGAACCTAGTCATGGTTTCACCTGCACACAGTGCTAAGCATTTCGTATTTAGAAGTCAGAGGTGTTCTCTGATTGTCTTTATTTCCCAAAGTAGGAAACTGACTCTCTTACTGTTTCTCAGCTTCATTCTACATGCAATGCACAATGAAACACATTTCTGTAACTTCTGCCAAAGTCAGTCCTAGATTTTGTTCTCACCTTGTTTCTCTTTTGATTTTGGAGCGTTTCCAATTTTCCAAAGATGAAGGCAGCAATTGTTTTTGCATCTCTAGCACTTATATGCTCTTCCCACATACTTCTCTAAAATTAAAAACACTCGTCATGTTTTGATTAAGTATGTAAATGATAACACTGCCATCTAACAGCTTGACTAAATATGCTTTAAAGTTCTTTTGTTCCAAAACTGTAAGTGTTTGAAATTCAAATTTCTTCAAGGAAATAAAGCTGCAGTAGTACAGGTAAGCCATCCCTGAAATACACACTATGGACATGTAAAATAATTCCTGGAAACAGTACGGCGCACACTTCAAAAGCCTCAAACATACCTGGACTGCGTAAGCAAAGATGTCCACACAGCCCGCACTCACATCCGAGTCCCTGAAGCCCGGTCCTGCTGCGTGTATACGATCACTGTGTTTCTGACAGTCTGCTTGGTCTACACTGGCACTCAGTTCGGCCACTGTGCCCGTGCCTGTGGGGCCTGGATCCCGAGTCACTGCTGTCCGCACAGACACCTGGCTCGACTCCGCACACTGAGGAACATCCTTGTCTAACAGTGCCCCTGGGGCTTGGTCAACTCCGCGTTCCTTACACTTGGACCTGCCTACCATCCACGTACCGGAGTTAGACCCAGGACCACCTGTCTCTCAGCTGTTCTGAAAGCGGAGATGGAGCTACTGAAGAGAGGAGTGAGGATTCCGGCACTTCTGCCACTACTGTGCTGTGTGTGCCTCAGGCTGTTCCTAAGACAGAAGTGACAATCCTAGGTCTCTGGAATCTGTCACCTAATGGTTTTCTTTTTGGTGAGACAGGGTCTCGCTATGTAGTTCACTGCCCTCGAACTCGCAGTGTTCCTCCTGACTTTGCCCGAGTGCTGGGATGACGGGAATCTGTCATCACGCTCAGGACTCATTTCTTAATCCGATATTCTTCTTCAAAGTGTTACACATTAGAAATTATTTGACTGTTTTACCAGAAAATCTGAGTATGTGGCAAGTATTTCCTTAGTTTATTGTAGTTTTTTTCTCTGGAAAAAAAGCCCCTTACTCTGAAACTTCCTCTGTAGAGCAAAGCATTTGGAATAGCGTTACTGAAGGCAGTAGTACCTACGGGATGTTCCCAGTGACCTCGACGGCCACCCTAATCTTGTGAGGCGTGTGTTGCTGTTGTCTCCTTTTCTGCTGCTCAGACCGTGCTCCCTCCCAATGGCCACCCCTGTCTGCCTGCCTTGCTCTGCAGGGCACCAGTTTTCTCCTATCATTTCTTTTGCTCTCCCACAGCTTTTATTCCTATCACTAAGTTATCTTAGTCTATTTTTTTTTGAGACAGGGTGTCGCTGTGTAGCCCAGGCTGTCCTTGAACTCCTGACGATCCTCCTGCCTCAGCCTCCGCAGTGCTGAGATTACAGGCGTGTGCCACTATGCCTCGCTGCCTAGTCTACCTGTGCGTAGAAAACAGTTTCACTTTTCACCTCTAAGTCATACTGAAAAGTGGCTTATTTTCTTGCTGTTTCTGGGATTCTAGCAGGGAGAGCAACATTTTATTTTTCACCACATTGTGCAATTTGCTCAGTCCTTTTATTTGTTGGGTTTTACCTGTAATTTAAAAATACCCTGCTCAGCTGCCCTTTGCTTATTCCTCTGCTTCATTTGGGCCATCCAGGGATTGAACCGCAGGCCTCACACATGCCAAGCAAGGCCCTGGCACTGACCCACACCTAAGCGCCTTCACTCACTTTCTTACAAACTAGTATAAGGAATGTTGTCCTCAATTCTGCTTGAAAAATATAAAAATTCTGTTTGAAATATTTTTTTTTTTTTAACTTGAGAAGTCAGCAACCATCACGAGGTACCAATTATGCTGGCTGTAGGACACAGTCTATGTACCAGTGACCACAGAAAAGGGTGGTCCTCTTCATTTTGTTAGGGCCCCTTCCTGGGTGGAGAGCTGTACTATTTGCTGGAGAAAAAAAGTATTTTGTTAGGATTGCCCAAAAGTAATAGTAACTGAACCAAAGAACCCTAACTTTTATTCTGTAATCTAAATCTGTAGCACAGGAAGTGCTCAGTGACCAAGGCTGAACATATCAAAGTATTACTTTTTTCTCTTCATGGAAAAAATTTAAAAAGCAGTATCTATTTATTCTATAAAAAGTAAAAAAATATAGAACTTCACAGAAAATAATTTCCTTATTAGTTTATTACTTGTTGCCACTTATTAATAGTTTGTCAGGTTACTTTATAGTGCCGAGTAAAAAAATTTTAAGGCAACTGAGGAGTCCACCAACCACGAAACAGAAAACCTTTTTAAGAATACCTGGTGCGGATCCAGAGAACATGGTGGACAGAGAGCAGCAGCTACGCAGGCTCTCTGCGAGACCCAGCTTAGAAGCCAGGAATGGTGCAGAGTGAGGGATCCTAACCAAGAGGAGATATACCCTGCTGACCCAAGAACGAACTGGGCTGAGAGATACCAACTGGGAATGCAGTCCTGGTGCTATAATAGGAACAGATAAAGCCTGAGCGTGGAAGCTGGAGCTCGTGCCATTGGAAGCCGCGATTTGGGTTTCCTGCTGCCGCTGCTGCATCTGAATCAGCTCGGCAGGGAGAGAGATGTGAGAAAGCTCTGAGAACAGGAATCGGTGAACAGAGTTAAGAGCTGGGCGGGCAGGGAGCCGTGCATGGACCTGCAGTGAGTGAGGGAAATGGGGACTCTCCCACGGTCTAGGAGGCGCCAACAGAGGGCATTCTGGGACCGGGTAGACTTGCTGGAACAGGGTGCTGTAGTGACTTCAGTCACATATCTCCCTCTCAAGCGGGATTGGTGAGCAGTGCCTAGCCTACGTGACGCTGCTGGCTGAGACCCAGTAGGCTAGCACAACCCAGGTCCCAGTGCCTGGAGAGGCACTCTAGTGGTGAAGCCTTCTGCAGGTTGTCCTGGAGGGGTGGGCCCCAACACCTAGCCGGTGCAATTCAATCAGACTATGGCTGACAGGGAAGGGAGCTGGGCCTCCTATATACGCTTGCATATATAAGGAACAAAGAATATGGGAAGAGGGAGCAACAAGAAAGGCTCCTCAGCCCCCAATCCTGAGAAACAGGCAATAGCAGACACGCCACCAATAGACATAAAAGGCTATCTCCAGAGCCTCATAGACAAGTTCAGGAATGAAGTTATTAATGACCTGAAGCAAGACATAAGCACAATAGTCAGAGAAATGCTAAGTACCACCCAAGAAAAAGCAGATGGTGGAATGGAAGAACAGAAAAAGAGGGGAGAATTATTTGATGGAGAAAATAGAGAACACATAGAATACATGAAGCAGGTTCAAAGAGATTACCAGGAAACTAAAAACTCTATCGAAAACTGGCATAACAGCTTAAAAGAAACTAAGGACAGATTATCTGAAGTGGAGGGCAGATTTGTAATATGGTAGCATGAAATGAAAAACTTCTTAAAAATAACAAAAAAACAAACAGCAACAATACAAAAACTAGAAGATGATAAGAGGATCTATAACTTAAGAATTAAGAACATAAGAGAAGTAGTGGGGACACAAACAAATGGACTACAAAAGCTATTCACAGAAATAATCCAAGAGAATTTCCCTACTTTAGCAAAAGGTAAAGATACTTAGATGTATGAGGCATACAGGACCCCAGCCACCTACAACCCAAACAGAGCTACACCCAGGCATATAATAATCGAAATTCCAGAAATCCAATATAAGAACAGAATACGAAAAGCCGTCAGAGACAAGAAACAGATCACTTACAAGGGAACACCCATCAGAATTACAGCAGACTTCTCGGCACAAACCATCAAATCACGAAGAGCGTGGGGGGAAATAATTCAAGCTTTGAAAGATAATAATCTCCAGCCAAGATTGATATATCCTGCACAACTATCCCTGGAAATTGATGGAAAAACAAGGTGCTTCCAGGATAAAGAGGAACTAGGGGAATATGCAACCACCAATTCAACTCTACAGAGAATACTGCAAGATATTCTAAAAAAGAAAAATACAAAGAATCCAGAAATAGAGGCAGAGAGGCCACAATGAATGGAGCAGAAAACAAAATGAAGAAGACAAACTGACAACTAATGACAGAAAAAGAGCTCAACAGAAACGAGGCAGAGAAGATTGGATGATAGGAACAGATATCTTGGAGAAAACGACATCATAATAGGTAGTGCTGACTTGGTATCATCTTATTTTGAAGTCCCATAAAGCTTTTGTTCTTCTGTCTCCATAGGTCTTAACATGTTATATCTTATTGGATTTTATTATATGTGACAGTATAAACAAAAACTTTATAGGCAAGCAGATTATACAGAAACCATAGTTCATTATCTGTTAGTTGATTCTAAATACCCTGTAATACTGTCATTCTCTTGAATGGTTTTAAATTGTTTTGATATATTTGATGCTACAGTATAGGAAGTTATACTCAAAGATCTCAAGGAAAGAGACAATATGGTAACTACTTTTATGTCGGGATTATCTTGTGGTGAAACACTACAATGGTTACGTTTTGATCTGCACTGTTTAGTTGTTATGCCCTCTTTTATCTCAATCTCCATTTTATTATTTACTTTTTAATTTTTATCCTTTTAACTAAAGGAAAAATAAATTTAAAAAAAGCAGGATATATTATAGTAACCCACTTTGATATTCTATTCACTTGATTTGAAGCCTTGTATTGCTCTCACCATCTTGTTTTGACTGATGTCCCTGTATTCTGCTTTGCTTGATAGTACCAGGTTCGAAAGTTTAGGCAACAGCTGTGAAGATAGTGGGATTCATTATGACGCCCATACTGGTTGACTATTACCTACTTTTGAAGACCTGTAATGTCTCCAATGTTTTGGTTTTGTTGGTTTCATTCTTTACTGTTTTGTTCAATTTTATTGTAACTGATGATATTAGGCAATTTTATTTGAGATAGCGGGAGGCATTATGGTAACCATTGTTGATCACCTTGTATTATGTTTTTACATTATCTATTATGTCCACCCTTTTGATTTAACCAATTCTGTTCTGTTAAGTCACATTTGGTTTTACTCTCTTCCAAAAAAAAGTATTAAGAACTGTGAGAGCAATAAAACCCAAAATGTGTAATAATCATTGTACAAAAGAGAGGAAAAGAAAGTGCTCTAAATGATATAACTGCATGTATATTTAAGTGTATAAGACAGACAATGATATTACTGAGTTTTGTTGGATCATTGAACAGAACTGTTTGCAGTCTCACTGTTTGAATGTCCACTTTATATACTTTAATCTTGTAACTTGATCAAATATTTCTAAGATGACAATATGTAATCCATTAACTAGTGATTTCCTACTGTTTATTTTTTTTTTCTGAAATTCTGTATAACTTGTACCCTTTTTCTGCTTTTTTTTTTCCTTTTTCTCCTTAAAAAAAAAAAAAAAAAAAAAAGAATACCTGGTGCGGGTGCAATAACATACTGTGCAGCAATACGAAAAATGACAAAGGCAGAAGGAGCTAGAAAAGGAGAGTCAGCTTTTGGACGCAGCTCCCGTGCACGGCGGCACTCACCTTGGCTCTGTTGTAGGTATACAGCTTAACGGTCGGGTAGGCTCTGATGCCGGCCTTCTGGCATGTCTGGGCATGGGCCTGGCAGTCCACCTTCCCAGCTTTCACCCTGCCTTTCACCATCTGGGAAACAAAAGTATGGCTGGCCATTTTCTGGCAAACTATTTTGACAACTACAAAGCAGTATGATAAAATTATTTCAAATCTTTACACATTTAAGGATTTACTTTAAAAACTCAAGATTTGGACCTTCCAATTCAATCAGTATTGTTTCCAAATTTTTTTCCATGCCTTTAAACTTTTCACTCTCACCTCTCCAACAGCAAATAAACTCCCTTCTTCCTCACCAGAAACACTGGGAAATGATTTCCTCATCTTCTCCTGCTAACCACACCTGGCCCATGGCACTACAGACATGTTTCCTCCCCAGACCCTTTCCCAGCCTGAGGGAGCATTCTCCACCTGTGTCCTATGTCCTCCGGGCAGACCTCACTCTCTCCAGTGTACACAGATGATCCGCGAGGTTCTCTCCCTGCCTGTAATGACTCCTCCAGCTACCAGCATGTGTGAGCACCCATCTGCCTGCCTCTTTCACAACGGCTTATTCTTTAACCACTGCTTCATCACTCACTTATTTGGCATTTTAGTCTGGATTCTGTTCTTAAGGCTGCCTTCGATGACATGGCTGTAACTTCATAGTAACTTCTACTTGACCAACATGAATGGACATTTTCTTGTTCTTAATGAGCCCTTGGACCATTCTTTTAGTTTCTATTTTCTTTCTTGGTGTATCTCAGTACTCTTGCTGTTCTGCAGCAATGGAGACTTCCTCTGTGGTGGTTAGGGTAGAGGTCCAAAGCCTTGACTGGCTTTGGAATCCATCCAGGTCGATGGTGGTGGACACTCTGGGTAAGCCATGGAAAAAGAGGTGGCCTTGGGGGTCTGTCTGATCCTTTGCTCCTCCTCTCTGGCACTGCTCCGTGTTCTATTTCCTGGCCACCCAGAGCTTAGTACCTCTGCTCTGCCATGATGCCACTGCCTTAGACCCAGCTTACCATGGACTGAATTGTGAGCCAAATTAAATTTCTCCTTCTTTAAATTGTGGGTGTCAGGTATTGTCAATGAGAAAGCTAACTACTGCATCCTTGGCTATATTCAGGCTACAATACCCAGAGTTCCACTCATAGGTAACAATCTTTTCACAATGAAGTCTTGAACCTCTATTTTTAATCCTGATTTTGTATTCAATTCAGCACTGGCCTGCTTTATCTGAATGTTTGAAGCACAATCAAACACAATTCTAAGGATAATCCTTCCCCCTTCACTCCTCTTTTCCCCTTTCTATATGCACTCAGTTCAAGCCAAGAAAATGGTTCTCCTAGCCTCTCCCTCATCTATCACCATCAAACATGAAGTCTTTCTTCTCTTTCTTTTGCATCTGTCCCCTCGCTCATCTGTCACAATAAGAAATCCTATCTATTCTATCACTGCTGTCCTAATCCTGGTGCAAATTATCTCTTATTTCACGACAATCAGAGTGTCACTGCTATCTCTAGTTTGACTGCCAAGCCTTGCTGGAATATACAAACAGGAAGACTGACTTGTGCTAGGGCACCAGCAACACTGGGTGTAAGTATATACACGGACAGACACACTCTTACAGACGGTCAGCAAACTCTAGAAATGTGACTTTTAGTTAAGTTTCTATGTCATTTACAAAATGCTTACATAGCAGTTTACTTGGATGTCAATCATCCCTGGTACTGTAATCGCTCTTGGTGCTCTAAACAGCTTTCTCTGCCCTTGTTCAGGCCAGCAATGTGATCTTCCTAAAACATAAAATGGGTCCCGCCACACACATATTCTCAAGCTTATAAAGAAAATATTGGGGACAATATCTGTTCTGTGGGCTTCACTTTCTGCCATTCCACTTCCACCCCCCATCCCCCAATAATGCTTGTGAAAATGGACTAACAGTGGAGGCCCTGCGAATGCCCTGCTCTCATTTCTCTGTATGTTACTGAAGACTCTCTTCTCTTTATGAGGGCTCTTTGGCCAACCCTTTCAAGAGCCAAACTCCTGGTCATGTTTTATTCTTGTCTCAAATACTAACTTTTCTTTGGAACCCTTTATCTCTCTCTAGTATGACTCTTGATCATTCTTAGGTTCAAATTCTGGCTCTGTTCTAATTTCATTATTGCAACTGTCCTATGGTAGCCTTGATTTGCCTTATACCTTTCCTCTAGTTAAAAAGGTTTAGATTTGCTCAATGAATAATCCTTCTCATGTTTAATAATTTCCAGTTTACTTAACATGTAGTTGTATCACACAGTTTGTAATTACGTTAGCTTTTAGTAAAGGAGGAATGAAGGCATAAAATATTGTAAGAATTATCTGACAGGAAAGAAGCACAGGCAAGTTTAAGTAGGAATAAATAACCTCTTATCTGAAGGACTACTCAATAACTAAAATAACTTACTGCTTGCAGAGCTTTTTTAAAAATCCCCCTGCTAAAACATATTTCTGTATTTTGGGAAGCTAACCTGTTTTGAATTGGTGAAATTGGTGTGACTTTTTCTCTCTAAAAACACTTTTTCTCAGTGTTGCGTCTGTCAACTGTAGGCATTCTCTGAGTTAGGTAAACAAGCAAGCTATCAGTCAGGACCACACCATCAACAAACCTCCTGTGACCACAGAAACACCGAACAGGTAGCCTTACACTGTTTTATCCAATTGTTAAAACAAGCATATGAATACAGCTTATATTTGAGCAGACCGATAACACTTACCCTGGCTAAGAGCTCAAATTCTGGAGCAAAATTTTGGCAAGGTCCACACCAAGATGCATAGAAATCTACCACCCAGTGATATTTCCCTTGTAAAACTCTTTCAGTGAAAGTCTGAGTTGTCAAATCTGTGGACACTTGAGGTAAAAATCTGTAGCAATAGATAAAAATCATTTTTCATTATACAAAACTAAAGTAAACATCTAAAATGCAGTATCGCTCAGACTTTCTAAGTTAAAAATGATTACAGGTGTATCAATGTATCAATACTCAACCTCTGTGTTGGTAAATATAATTTTTTAACAGGTAGTTTAAGTGCAAGAATCTTAAAACACAAAAAATTTACGGAAGAATAAATAGCTTCTCATATTTTATGCAATAATATGTACTTATTTTAATTACTCACCCCAGACCCCAGATTCTCAGGGAGTAAGCATCCCTATTCCAACCATTGTAACTACTGAAAGATAAAAAAACATACACACATTAAGTTGTAAACAATACTTTCTATTATTGGGTATATTCTGAAAACAATCTTATGGTAGCATTAAAAACTTAAGATGAGGGGGCTGGGGATTTAGCTCAGCGGTGTAAGCGCCTGCCTTGAAAGCAGGCAGCCGTGAGTTCGATCCCCAGTACCGATAAAAAGGAAAAAGACAAAAAAAAAAAAAAAAAAAATATTAAAAACTTAAGATGACTTCACCTAGTATATCCCTTCTTAGATATATTTAATTCAGACGCTGATCATGTGGTTTTTGAACACTTTTCTCTACGCTTGCATTTTGTCTTTCTGGGGAATGGTACGTGCGCGTGTGTGTGCACCAAACCCAGGGCTCACACGTGAAACTACACCCTGAGCCCAAGTCTTTGTACATCTCTTCTGCTCTAGATAAATCTGAATGTCCTGCTGCCTGCTGGACATATCCTGCAAGTTAGGTGAACCTGAAAAGACACAATCTCTAAGACTTTAGTTTCTGAACTTGTATCCAAGTTATTACTGTCAACTTCCCATTCATTTTATAGACTGTTAAGTCAGAAATTACCTCAAAAATGCAGCTTCTCATGATTTCCTGTTATAACCTGCTGCTTCTTGAAACCCATACATCACTTTCCTTGCTTTAATAACATTCATCACACTCTTGCTCAGACTTGAGAATTCTACTTGGAAAACGAAGTGGTGGGGTGGAAACAGCACAGACTGTGGGGCAGGCTCGGGTTCAAGGCCACACTTTAACCCTTGGCAGGTGGGTCACTTGGGAATGGTTTCTAAATGCTGAGGACCCCCCTTCTCTGGGACAGTGGGAAAGGCAGGAATCCCTTCCTCAGAGAATACATGAAGACTGGTGGAGAATGTGAGTAAGAAAGATCCACTACAGTATAACACATGAACGGAATAAACATTTAACGTCAGCTCCCTCTCCCAGGTTCCTGACCAGCCTAACTTCCTGAACAGTCTCACCGTTCAGTTCCCTTCATCTTCTCAACACTGTCTTACACATGGTGCGTTCCCAATATCTGTGTAGCTTTTAGTTAGAATATCTGTATGCTGCTGTGATACACAGCTTCAAATCTGACAGAATACTTACTGATACTGATAGCCTTTATTTGATTTTTGTGGAAAAAATCTTATCTCAGGGTATCTCTGCACATTTTCTTGGGCACAAAAAGAGTGATACTGTTCGCAGTCTACACTGCCCACATTGATCAGTCCAGTTAATGTCTGGAAAAGAGGAAAACAGTAGTTTTATCACTGATTAAAATAATCTCCAGAGCTTTGATGTTTATAATAAAAAGATGGTCACTGTGAAATAGTCATTATTTACTAGTGACTATATCCAGAGGAAATAACACACAACAGGGGTTCTTTTTTGGTCTTTTTAAGATAGGGTTCTGCTGTGCAGTTCAGGCTGGTCTTGAGCTCACTTTGTAGCCCAGGTTGGTCTTGAACTTGCAACGATCCTCCTGCCTCAGGCTCCTAAGCGCTGGGATTACAGGTGTGCGCCACTATGCCATTTTTTGACCATTTTAAAAATCTAATCTGAAATCTAATTCTGTAATTAATAACAATCACTACAGAGTAATATATTTCATTTATTACAAAGGAAATGTAAGTATTTTCATTTCCAAAACTCTGTTAAAAACCAAAAACTAATGAAGCTCTCTGCAGTATTTTAAATAATTACTTTTTCCAATAAAGGCAAAGATTGCATGTAATCCTTTAACTCACACTCAAATTATAAAATTTTACTGAAAAAGATCCAAAATTTATAATCTTAAATGTTAAGACACTAAAAATCACTCTCTTAGTTTCCTTTTATTTTAGAAAAGATTAAGTGCATTTTCCTCTTTGGTATTTAAATAATTTTCAATCTTTCATAATTTCTAACACTGAATTTATTTGCAGGAAATTTCTAAATAGCAACTGTTTTGCTGGTCAACACTATTTTGCTTTATTTTTTAAGTCCCACAGTACTGTGATGAAATGATCTTTAAATTCTAAAGAGGCAGAAAAAATCTTAATAGAAAATGAAGAGTTTTTGGTTGACAGTGGTAACAATTTGGTCAAAAGTGACCCCACACAAAAAAGGCTGAACTACATAGCTGATGTAACAGATGGAAACTGAGGCAGGGTCTTGATGGTACGATCAGGGCTGCTGTTAAGTAACATCCACTGAATTTGTTTATTTCCGTTTCAAAAACAACTCTGCTAAATCAACATTCCTTAGTAAATGGTTAAGATTTAAAACAGATGATTTCACTATACCCGGGCCATGCGTTTCCACTCTGGCATCAGGACCTGACAGGGGTGACACCACGGGGAGTAGAAATCAACCATCCAGACTTCGTCATGCTTTCTGTGTCTAACCAGTTCGTTGAATGTGGTGGGTGTGAGTGAGACCACTGAAGGGTTCCTAAGATCCTAAAGAAAACACACCCTACTGTTAATAGATACTAAAAAGAGTTGTTCACATAGTCTTGGCAAAGTTACTGCTTTAGAGAAATGAAAAGATGCTTAAGGATATTTAAAGGAAATCTATAGTGAATTGTTTCAAAATATAAAAATCATAGCTGGGCATGGTGGTGCACACCTGTAATCTCAGCAGTTGGAGGGCTGAAGCTGGAGGATTGCCAGGAGTTCAAGGCCAGCCTAAAACTACAGAGTGAGACTTACTTTTCCTTGTGTCTATCACTAAAAACCACTGTAGGCTGTTTGAAGAGGCTTTTCTTTGAGGTTATGTGTAGATGATACAATAAAGAGTTCCAGGAGACGCTCAGTGGGCCACATAGGCCACAGAGAGTTCTGTTGTCCCCAAGAAGGACTGGTTTGGAAATGACCCTTAATTACTAATGGGATGGAATGCCTACTGTTCGTTGTTTCCGTTCCTTTTTGAGATTCTGACTGCAGCTACTGTAAACCTCTTTAGAGACCACAGTTCTAAATGCTATTTGTAACAAAGTTTCAGCCTATGACTTAGATAACTAACAAGGAAGGCACTGTCCCTGGGAAAACTATCAAAAACATCCAACACTGCTTTGGAGGGGAGTGGGGAGGGATACAAGCATAGGACACAGTAAAGTGGTGATGAAATGGATGAAGCATGCTTCTCTTTGGTAGGTGGCCTGGGACCACCTCCCTGAGAATGGGAGGTGCTGTGCACATGGCCCTTCTGTGCTAACCACAGCAGGTTGGTGGAGACTGCCCACTTGCTGCTGTGCATGCAGGGCAATCAGGTGACAAAGCTTCAGACAATCAGAATTTCATGTATTCAAAAAACAGTTGTATCCCTATCTATGTATAAGGCAATACACTAGGTAACAACGCAGGACTTGAATTTTTTAAACTTTCCTTTTCATGAAATAATGTTTTAGCATGAACAGTCAATACTGTATTTATGAAATGGTCATTTCAAGTGTATATATAAACCAGGGTTTCTAGTCATATACTGTAACGGAAAATACCTCTATGAACTCTAGGATCTGTTCAGCAGAGTGATGTCCTTCATACTCATGAATACTGGACTGGTTGAACACCACCGTGGTAGGATAAGCCTGAATATTATACTGTTAGGGAGGAGAATACAGATTAGTCAAAAATGTTAGATATGATACCTATTTCCATTTTATAAACAGCTTCCCCAAACAATAACAATCAGATTTGAAAAACCCAGTGCAAAATTTCTAGTGACCAAAAACTTTTGGCCTAGACACATTCAGCAAAGGAAATGCAGCCCCAGTTGTTCCGATAACCTCATCCTTATTTCAGGGACTCCATTAGTGATAGGTATCAAAAGTATCCAAGAAGGTGAGCATGAGTAACTGCATGCTCAGTCCCCTTTTGCTGAACCAAAGGAAGAAACTGTAAAAAATAGGTCTGTAATTTTGTAGTTTCTGAAATCACAATAAATACTCTTACTTTTTCTACACATAGATGATCGAGAATATAAAACAATGAATAACAGCACAGGACTCTATTTTAGGTTGAAGAAATATGAATTATGCCCTAAGAATGTGGTCATGTTTTGTTCTTCATGAAAGATAGTCTTTGTGGTACAAAATGTTTAATTTCCACCTCAGAACTGGTATGGGTATGGCTCAAGACATACAGTATATTTCTGAAGTTTTTATTTTTTATTAAGTTACAAAGAGATTTGTTATGGCTTAACTTTATATTCTTAAGAGAATAAACACAAATTAGCAAACTGCAATATTTGAAGAGTCATAAAAATAATTTTAGAAAAAAGACATTTATCAGTTCTGAAAAAAGTGTGCAAATTCAAATTCATTAGATTAATAAAACAGTAACATTTCAGTGCTTACTATGTGTCAAATACTAAACATACTATTTCTCATAATTTTGTCCAAGAGTTAGAATTACAAAATCCACCTTCGCAGATGAGAAAACAGTCACTGAGAGGCCAAGTGACTTAGTCAAGGTGAACCAATTAGTGAGAGGCAACTAACGAACGAGTAACAACTCTGATTCTGTATTTCCTTTTTTTTTTGGTACCATGAATAGCACTTATGACCTCATACTTGTCAGGTATGTGCTGTGCCAAATGAGCTGTATCCCCGGGCTCTAATTCTGTATTTAAACCCTTATGTGGTACTTAATGATTTGAGATAAAAGGTAGAAAAACTAAAGCAATTCAAATGAGATAATTATTATTTATCACAAGAACATCTTTGGTTGGCATTTATTTTTCAAAGTCACCTACAGAACATTAGAAATCAAAAGCTGTTTTTTAAAATTTTTTTTTGAAAATTTATTATTTCATGATGTTGAAAATGAGAGAACAGAATCTGATGAGTACCTACACATCTGTCCCCTCTCTTCACAGCAATGGACTGTGGAGAGACTGTGAGGCTCTCTTCGCCAGTCCCGTGTGGCCCCCACTTCTCCCTCCTGCTCACATATGCTGAGATCTGGAGATACCCATGGTGCCAGCTAGCTTGTGCTCTGTCACTGCACTTCTCATCATTTCAGGATTTTTTTTAATGCCAGTAATATTTAGAGGTAGTATACACTTTCATCACGAAGTATAAAACTGGAACTGAAGACTAGAAAGTATTTATCTATGAAAATATTTTCATGTAAGCAAACGTTTTGAAATGCTTGTTAATGGTTTTAATTTTCCTTTAATTTTAGAAGACAATTATAAAGAAAATCAAAGAAAATTATGCACAGCCCAAAAGGTAATGCTAAGAAATAAATTACCTATGTGGTTTTTCCATTTAAGATATTATATGGACAGCTAATCAGTATCTGCCTTATTATTAAGATGCTTAAAAGTCTCTTATTTTATAAAACGTTTTAGTTCCAGTATATTTTCCATACTTTGCCTTACCGTATTACAGAGCCCTTCGTGGATGGTACAGTCTAGTGTGCCAAATTTCAGCTGACCATAAAGGAGTGTCGATGCTTTCCGTAACTCGGGCAGTAGAGCTTGGCATGGTGGACACCACTAAAAAAGAAAAGCGCGTTCATAATCATTGAGAAAAATAAAAAAAAAAATTCACATCACTTTTGTAATAAGCAAGACACCGAGAAAGGCAACTGTGCTCTGGGCCTTTCTTCTGGCACATATTTAACCTCCGGTGGGTACACACCCCAGTGCTCACTTAGGGGTATACACAACAGTGGCTCAAACAGAATCAAACAGTTCTACTACTAAGGGCTAAACATCATTGACAAACTTCTTTTGGCCACGGCAAGAGGAAATAGGGTATAGAGTACTGAAATCTGACAGATAAAAAATGACTTACAGGAGCAAAAAAATCAACAAGCCAAGGTTCTTTGTCACTGGATGGAAAATTTTGAGGTCCAAGTGTGGTAACATGAGAATTAACACTTTCTTTGGCAAAGGCAAGTATATCATATAAAATCTTCTTTCCTTTGAAATTAAGAGAAAAATTAAAATCCACATTCTATATTTACATAAACATTTCAAAGTTCAAAATATTGAAGCAAGATGACCTTAAAAACAAACTGATTTTGATGTAATTTTGGTGTTTTTTTGTGTTCTATATCTACATGGTTTTAAAAAGCTCTACCAGAGTTCCCCTCCCTTGAATGCCCACTTCTGTATCTGCCTCGTCAACACTTCAAGGTCTCTGTGGAATGCTCCATCAGAGGCAGAATAATCTCTTAGCTATAATGACTGAACTCTCCATGCTATTACTATGGCCTAACTGCTGTATCGGTTCCAACTTACTATAAATTCAAAACCTGTATTACCAACTGAACAGTGGAAAATGGTATTTGAGTAGCGCGTGAACCCTGCAAACACAAGATACCTAAACAGAGCGGAGTTAAACTTTCCCCCAAACCTGCACCTTTTCTCACCTTCTCTATGGCAACAACATAACCTCATCAATCGGGTGCCTACAAAGGACTTGCCCGAGTGACCGTGGCCTTGCTTGTCTGTCCTTGTGTCCTAACTCCCTTCCGTTCACCTCCCACCCTGCTGCTACTGCCTGAATCTGCCCTGGCCTACTGTAATAACCACCCCAGGATAGCTGTCATCAGCTCTCCCTAATTAATCCATTTTCTACACTGCTAGCAGAGTCCACCTAAAAATACCAACTGATCACACTGTCTAAAGGATACCATTGGCTTGGTAAATACCTTTCCAACCAGAGCACAATTTATTTTCCCAAGTGTCCTTTGACTTATTTATTCAGCACTCATAATTAAGTATCTAATATGTGTCAGACATGTTTTAAATTAAGGCAGGTAAAAATGAAAAAATAAAGTTTTCTCATTCCTAGCCCATCAGAAGAAAACATTTCACAGCTACATACAGATAAAAAGCATTGTGTTGTCCTGCTTTTTTCTTTAGCTTTTTCTTCAACTGTTTCGCATGAATCCCTGCCTCTGACCACGAGGCTCTGGACCAGTCTGCGTGTCACCAGAGTCCATATCCAGCAGTTGCAGGTCAGCTTTCAGATGGCCTGAGCCCTCACCTGCTCTGTGTCATGAGAGGACCTGAGTCGAGAGCCATGCAGCTAAGCTGTTCTTGGATTCTTGGCCTCCAAAATCTGTGAGTTCACAAATGTGTGCTGTTTCAGGCTAAGTCTACAGGTAATTTATTACTCATCAACTGATACCTACTTCTCCCTACTGCACACAGAGATTTTAAAAACTTGTTCTTTTACTTGTCTGTTTTTTCTTCTACTCTATCATGTTCTTTAAAGCAGTGATCAAATACACATTTTTTCCCTATTTTTCTATACTGTACCTGTTTACGTTTAAACACAATACGAGATACAAAACTAGTAACAGCACATAAAAGATGGTGCCTGGGACTCTGTGGGTTTTTCCATGGGAGAAACTGCTGAGTATTTTGAGGCCTGGGTGGCAAAATTACAATGCAAGGAGAAAACTCATGTGTGAGGACATTAAGAGTAAAACAATAAGGCATTTTCAAGGATCCAAAAGCAAGATTCTAGATAAGACTATCTGGAGAGGCGGCGGTGGAAGCTGATGTTAGAAAAACTGGAGGCGGGAGACTGTGAAAGTCCCTCATTCACTTAACAAGTACTTCCTGAGTTCTGCTGCCTGCCAGGCACCATGTTAAATGCAGGGACAGACACGGCAAGACAGTCATACTGCTATGCTAAGGCCTGGACCTTATTCTCAAAGAATCAAATCGAATGAAAAGTGTTTTGGCTTCACGCTCTGAAGACAGGACAAGGACTCAACTGTAAAAAGAGAAGACAAGATGAGCAGCCTTAAAGGAAAAAATTACCTCCGCAGATCTAAGAGGTGACGGGCTCGAAACAAGGCAGCACACACAAAAGAGGGCAGTCAGAAATATTGGGGGAAAAAGTGTGTCTCCACTATTCCGGGTACTTTTGGGACTGACATAGTTAGTAAGCTTTAGCTTTTTGGAGTCAGATAAGCTTGTGTTTAAAAATGTACTCTGTCAATTTTTTAGTTACTAATAAATGAAAGTAAAAGTTGTTAACACTAAACTTGTACATACAAAACAAGGTAAAAACCAATGAGAAAATCTCTCTTTGGAGATGAAGATGAAATCATCATCTTCCCATTTTTACCATGATGGAATTCATATTCTTTGGTTCCTTGTCCTTTAAATACTGCCAGACAGGGCTGGAAAACGTAGAGATCCCCACAGACGCCTGGCGCAGAGGAGCAGTTAAACCTTCCAACCTGGAAAGTATAAAGATGAGGTTGAATTTGATGAAAAAATCCTACCCACTCAATTTGTAGTTTTTTCCTAAAGATAATTCTATAACGACACTGTTCCCAAAAGAAGTTAATCAGTTAACAAAAAGAAAATAGTTCATTTACATTTAGTACTGAAAATTCAATTCAGTTAAAGATGCTTTCTAAAGAGCTCGGAAACCTGAGAGCAAACGTGAAGTTCTTTACCAAAACTTTGCTCCCAAAATATATGAGGTGTTTAATCTTGGGCTAGGGGCCAGATAATGCAATAAACAACAATTAGAAAAGGTTCATTTTCTATACAGCATGAAAGAAAAGACCTTAAATAAAACAAGGAAATGATAAACCATGAAAAAATTTGAGCACATAAGGAAGATCTATTAAGAAAGAACAATCACCGAAAAGCTCGTCTCCCAGTCTTGGGCCGAAGAGAAAACACACGACTCTTCAGTGCGCTTGTTCACAAAACTTGGTTTTAAAATAAATACATTAAAACCTCCAAACAAAAAAAAAGAAAAAAGAAATAACAAGACAGTTTGTACTCCCAGCACTCGGGAGGCTGAGGCAGGAAGACCGCTCTTCCTGAGTTACATAGTAAGATCCTGTCTCCAAAAAACCAACCAACCAACCAACCAACCAGTAAGACAAACACTGCACAGGAAAAAAGAAAATGTGCCAGGGATATAAAGAGAAAACAAATTATAGAAGAATTATGACCTACCAATAATTGTCTTTTTTTCTTTCCATTGTACTAGAAAGCAACTAAAGTACAGATTGTTAATATATTATTTTTGCTAATTAGAATAGTGAATAAAAAAATATTATCATGATGTACACAAATGTAGAGAAATACCCATTTACATGCTGTCAGTGAGATTCCAAATTTATAAAAACCTTCCGGAAGGTTCTAGTAATAAGGATTAAAAAGGAAAATAACCCTGAATCAAAATTTTTTTCACATTAAAATACCTGGACAAGTCTCGCATCATTTGATTCTTAAAAGATTGAAATAAAAGCAAGAGATCTGTCAACAATTATGATGTTAACACACTTTTACTAAAATATTACTTAGCTTATAGGGAGAGACAAGAATATACACAGATACACACGTATGTATGTACCACACAGGCCAGCAAAAGAGTCTGAAGCTGTTGAATGTAAAAGCTTACTACAGAACAATATATAAGAGTACCGTGATTAAAAAGTACACACATAAGCCAGGCACGGCGGCACATGCCTGCAATCCTAGCACTCTGGGAGACTGAGGCAGGGGAAATGCAAGTTGAAGTCTATCCTGGGAAAGTTAGCAAAACCTTGGATTCAATTTCTAGCAGCACACACACTCAATTACACATATAAATTTACATGTGTATGTACATGTATTACATCAACCATTACACTATGTATTCATGTGCATGCATGTATCTACCCACTTACACCAGTACTCATAAAATATCTGAAAGTTCACACAGTAAATTCTTTGTATGGTTATCAACTGCACTGAAAGTACAGGTGAACTTTTAGATAATACTCATTTTTGTGTTTATCTATGTTTGTATATCCTAATTTTTAAGTGATGAGCAAGAGTTACTTAGGGAAAGAAGAATTTATAAAACAGCAGTTTGGCACAAGGTATATGGAGCTTGGAAATTGTTACTGGCTGTCATCCATGAGAAGAAAAGGCTGACTAAATTAGAATTCAACAGCTCCTACGTCACTGGACTGGGGTCATAGGGCACAATGCTGCTCCCAAGTTGAAGAGCTGCATAGGAAGGTGAAAAACCACACCTTACCAGAGTAAAGCCTTACCCCAGGAACTCTGCGGCACCTGGTTTGAGCATCACCCCGTAGCTGTCTCAAAGCATCAACGGACTGATTTTCATTGCCTGAGGTGAAGAAAGGCCAGACAAGAGTATCCAAGACGGCCGAGCAGAGGCACCCTGAGCTCGCTCCTTCCCAGAGTGGAGCCAAGACACTGAGAGGACAGTGGACATGGCAAAGGCATGATGGCAACCCTAAGCGGCACAGATGGCAAGATAGAGTAGCAAAATGTGCTGCGACAGCAGCCCAGCTGGCCCCTCTGGCTGCAGAGGACTCCACGCTGAGAGGAGAGGCTGAGCAGGAAAGTGCCAGGGACTCTGTAACACCGCAGAGCGGCGGTTCCACCTGTGAGACTCACACAGCTCCCAGAGACTTGCACCCCAGGCCGGGCAGCTGTCTGAGCCCATGCAACGGCTTTACACCAGAGAAGGAACTCAAAACAGGCTCCTCTACTGACTTTCAGAGCTCAAGCTGCTAGGCATGGTGCCATCATAAGGATAGAGGCACAGCTAGATGTCACCACGACCCGGGGACGGGTACGCAGTCTGCTCACTGCTCTCAGGCGCTCCGGTGGCAGAGGCACTTACTCTGCAGAGCTGAGGACGCGGCTTCCATAGTCCACGCCCCAGCACTGCAACTGCCATTGACCCCTAACTTGGCGGGCCCACTACCCTGCACAGACACACACAATCCACTGGCTGCCGCCCTGAACGCAGCTGAGGGGGGTGTGTGGAGACTACTGCGTCTTCACCGAACACCCACAGCAGAGGACCCACCAAAATGGCACCCGATGGCTCATCTACATGCAGGTCTGCCCACAAAAGCTACTCCTCACCAAAAAAGCTAAAGAGACAACTGTTACACTAGGGGCAGACACCAAACTAGGGATGTAGGAAAATATAATACATTTCCAAAGTGACACAGTAATTCTTCAGAAACAATCTAACATAAAGAAAATCTATGAAATGCTTGGAGCAAATTTAAAGTGATGCTAAGAATCCCAAAATACAAGATAAGACACACAATTCAATGAAATGAGTGCAACAATTTAGGAAATGAACAAGACATTTAATAGATACAGAAATCGTAAAAAAAATAGAGACTCAGAAGCTGAAAAATTCAATCACTGAGACTGAAAATACAACAAAAATTTCAACAATAAGCTACTTAAAGCTGAAGAAAAAAAATGAAGACAGGTTTTTAGAAATAACTCAGTTTAAAAAAAAAAGAAGCCTATGATACTTATGAGAAACTATGGAGTGGACAAGTATTTGCACTACAGGGATTCCACAAAGAAAACAGGGAAAATAACAGCCAGAAACTCTCGAAGCCTTGAATAATACACAGACATCCAGACCAAGGGAGTTCAAAAGACTTCAAGTAGATACAACAGAAACGACTTCCAAAGCTTATTTCATGCAGTCATTGTCAAAAGTCATAAAGAAGTCTAAAAATAGCAAGAGAAAAGCATTTAGTCACACACAAAGGAATTCCAATTGCACTAACGGACTTCTCAGCAGAAATTCTAACAGGCCAAAAGAGAATGGGATCTTATATTCAAATCCTGAAAGAAAACAAAAACAAAATACAAAAGAACCAAAATAGAAACTTGTCAACCAAGAATGCAGTACCCAGCAAAGCTACCCTGTAAAAACCTGAATCTTGCTATTGCTAGGCCAGCCTAACAAAAACTGCTTAAGTGAGTTCTACCTTTGTAATGAAAAAATGCTCAGTATTATTAATCATCACAGAAAGGAAAACTCAAACCATGATTCATCTCATCCCAGTTAGAACAGGTATTATCAAAAGGAGAAAATTAACCAATACTTGTAAAGATGACGAAAAAAAGGCACTCACACTGCTGGTGAAACTCTAAGTTGGTACAGCCACTACAAGGAACAGTACAAAGACTGAGATTCAAAAAGCGAACTGCCATATGATCTGACAATCCTACTACTAGGTAATCTGAAGGAATCAAATCACTATGTCAAAGTTTATCATAACACACAATAACTCACAAATTATTAAATCATTATATCCACGGTTATCCCAACTCACAATAGCTAAGCCATGGAATCAACCAACGTATTCATGAAGGTGGCATGCAGCACATACATAGGGGTTACTCAGCCCGTTAAAAGAATGAAATCCTGTCAATGGTAGCAGCAACGCAGGGGAATCGGAGGACATCATGTTAAGTGAGAAAAGGCACAGAAAGACAAACACCTCATGCTCTCACACCTGGTCTCACAGCGGAGACTGGGACGTGTAGGAGGAAGGGAAAGAGGCCAGTAACAGGAATCAAGGCACTTACACAGGAAGAATTAGTACTGACGTTCTATGGACAGTACGGTAACCACTGTCTACGATTTGACATATTTCAAAATAACTAGGACAAGGTTTCTTTTTTTTTCTTTCTTTTTTTGGTGCCAGGGATTGAACTCACAACCTTGTGTTTGCCAAGCAGGCACTTACGCTGCTGAGCTAAACCCCTGGCCAAGGACAAGGTTTCTAATACAGAGAAATGAAAAATGTTTGAGGATATATAAATGCCAATTACCTTGATGTGATTATTATTCACTGCACTGTACTACATGTATTGAACTACTGTACTATGCTTCATAAATATTTACAGATACTGTGTCAATTTAAGAAAGTGAAAAGATTTCATATTGAAGTGGTTTTCACTACATCAGGTTAAATACAACATTATTCTGAAAAAGGGAAAGTCATTCTTGTATTCAAACTCAGAAAACTGTATGATACAGGTTTGTCAAATGACAAAAAAAGTCACCTTGTTCAGGTAACACATCAATTTTGTAATACCAAACAAAAAACAAAAACTCCAGCCCCAAGATCAAAAACGTTCATAGGCTTCTTAAAGCAGAATGCCAACAAACACTGTTATACTATCTAAAATTCAGTTATAGGTATTACACTGATGAGGAAGCATATAGCAGAAGGTACAGCAAAATAACATTTTTTCTTACTTGAATATGATCATTTTTAAGTAGAGTTTTCAATTTTTTCAACTCTGGATCATCTGAATTTTCACTTTTTCCAAAATGGAAAAATACGAGCCAGCGATGATGTGCTAAACGATCCTTTAAAGTAATGAAGAAAAGGAACATCAAAGATGGGAAATTCTAAAGGATCTAATTTTTATTTCTTTGAAGTTAGTTTTAGCTACCCTACCCATTCACGTAAAATACAACCTAAAACGCAGAGCCATTCATACTGTTACTGTGAGTTTACTGGGAATAATCCAATGTAAATGAATAGTATGGGTAGGTTAAGTCCCTGAGTTAATAAATTTTAAAGAAGATGACTGTGACAAAAATACGGTTTTAACAACACATAGCTAAAAATGGAAGGCAAGTTTGGAGAAGTCAGCTTTTTGGGTTTCACTGGATTCTTTCTACACAGTCTATTTATATGCCATGCTGCTTAATTCTCAGTGGACAATGTAAAGTGTTCTGGTGGCAAGAAAACAAAGTTCCAAATCACGTCCAAAACTGCTTTGTGATCAAAATCTTGCCTTCCAGACCCTTGTTCTGAAGTCCACCTTCCGAACTGGGCAGATTTTCCAAAATTACAGCATTCATTTTGAATCACCAACATCAGAATTTCAGCAATTACAATTTAACCTAGAAATGACTAATATCCAAGTCTTTGAAATGCTACTTTCAATTAAATAGCAAGGAATAAAACAAATGCTTGAGTTTAAAATACTAAGACTATTAATAAAAATGTTACCTCTAGCGTTTTTGCTGAAAGTAGTTCAAAATCTGGAAGTTTATTTATTATCTCTAAATATATTTCTTTAGCATCCAACGAATTAAGAAACTAGAAGAAGAAAATCATATTGTAATCTTTTGAATAAACATTCATTTACTGTACTCTTTTTAGCTAGGAACAATTAAAAAGTTAGATAGCTTTTCAAACTATTCCACAAGCTGTTTTTTAAAAGGTATATATTATATTATTATTTTGGTAAATATTAAAAATATTACAAAGCTGGGTTGTTTTTAAAAAAACGATGTAAAAGAAATTCCATCATTAGGTGTTTTATTAACTGAATTTTGTGCTAATCCTACAGTAACTCAGAGTAACCTTTAAATCATAATAAAATAATTATATCCAATTTAACGTAATCATCTTTTATAGAATTCCAATGTACTGCACTGCCTTAGAATTTTTAATACTAGAATATTTGATGATCTAAGACACTTTATATGGCTACCATAATTAATGGTGATTAAGAAGAACTTGTGATGGGAAACTGGAATAGTTATTACTGATTAGTAAGAAGGTTTTCAGAAACAGTAACTTTTTCTTTATTCTTTTGGGATTCTACAAGACTGCTCCAATATCCCATTATTTATCTTAGCTCTTTGTCAACTAGCTCAAGTCCCAGTTTCCTCACTCATAAACTTAGGGAAGTAAATGACTGGATTTCCAAATGGAGTTCACACCAGAATCCCACAGGCTGCTTCAAGAACTAGAGAGCCCATGCATGATCTGTATTTTTAACATTATGAAAACAATTACATGGAACCCATTCAAACCCCTAAATATTTTTTCACTAATCCTAAGAACGTATTCCATGCTTTTGGGGTTTCAAAGACTAGTAACTTTAAATGTAATGTAAATGTCAGTTTAAAAATCAGAATTAGTGAAAAATTACTTCTTTAAAATAATGAAGTGTTCCACAGTCCAGTGACATGAACTCATTCCTTGCTTTGTTCACCTCTTACAAAATGATGCATTTCTATTGAGTATGTATATGCATGTTTCTGTGTAAAGACATTTGCTTAAACTTATTCATACCAAAATGCTGTTTTTTTCTTTGTTGTTTAAAGTGGCTCCAGGAGGAAAGTAAGCAGTAGTACTTGTTGTAATATCCAGACTTTTGCAAAGATTATCCTGGACAGCACAGTTCATCCATCCTACACTGACAAGACCGTCCTAAAGCAAAAGCAAAAACATGCTGTGTTGTAAAAAGAAGAAAATGGGATTTTGCTTTACCTAGCCAAAAAATCCACTTTTCCATTGTACAGTTGTACTTTCTTAACAGTATTAAGTACCTTGAGATAATAAAATGCAACTTTCCTTTGATATTATACACCTATGTTTAATATTTGTACAAACATAAGTTTTTATAGAAAGCAGGCTGTTCAATAATCTCTTAGGCTAAAATCAAACCTGTGTAAGACTTATGATTGTACTTTAGGTATGCATCAGAGTTTCTCAGATATTTATGTGACTACTATAATAAAATTAGTACTTTCCCAATTTTTAACCACTGGTTGTTAAACTCTTCTAATGACCTCCAAAAAGCTATATGAAAAGTTTTATTTTTCAGAATCTTAAGTTACTGCAATAATTTTTCGGACAGGGCAACTTCATAAACAAGGATGAACATACATTCAGTCAGGACTCCAAAATAAAAAAGGAAAAAGAGTGGGACATAAACAACAATTGAAGTAACAGCTGACAAGTTTCCACAACTTGGAAAGACAGCTAAGCTATGGATTCAGAAGTCCTATAACTCTCATAGCAGAAGAAATAAACTCACACTTATGCAAGTTATAACATAACTTCAGAAAATCAAAGTATCTTAAAAGCAGCAAGGATACATCTTGGGGTTCTTTTTTTTTTTGCAGTACCGGGAATTGAACTCACAATCTCGCCCTGCTAGGCAGGTACTTACACCACTGAGCTAAATCCTGGGCCCATGGGTACATCTTGATCTAGATAGTGTTACATAGGAACATATACATGCTAAAATTAAGATTTATAAGAGTCAAAAAGTTAAAAAAATTTACAAAGTAAAAGTTACAGAAAACTAAGATTAAACTTCTTACTGAAGAAAACTTTTATTTTTATAAATGCAGCACAGCCTAAGTACGCAGTGTTTACAGAGTCAGGGTAGTGCACTGTCACGTCTTCACCTTCACAGACGACTTCCAGTCCTGCACGCACGCTCCGTTTATGTCAGGGAGCTATATGGATGCACCCCTTTTGACCTTTTGCCATGTATTTTCACTGCACTTTTTCTAGGTGTAGATACAAATGGCACTGTATTCCCAGGGCCTGAGTTTTCAGCATAATAACAGGCTGTATAGTTTTGTGGCTTTGGAGCCTGTACCTCACAGGCTATGTGTGAGACAGGTTTGCGTACACGGACTGGATTGTGTTCACACACTAATGCAACTAATGACATTCATGACTATACGCATAAGAGAGTAACAGAAATACAGGGAGAAACATACAAATCAATGTTTTTAACTCAAGACTTCAATATGCTCGCCTTGAATTACAGATCATGTAGTACAAAAGCCATGGAGATATGAATCTGTGATTAATAAATTTGATCTAATAAACATAAAAATTACATCTAGCATACAGAGAGAACTTGTTATTTTTAAGCTCACATATAATTTTCCAATATTTGCAACTAACTCCTCAGTCACAAAGGAGCATTAGTAAGATCCAAGAATCAACATGTATCAGACCACATTCTCCAACCATCATATGACACAAAGAAATAAACTAAAAAAGTTTTGAAATGATGAAAACACTAAACATGTAACTAGAACACATAATAAATATTTAAACTGCAAGACCTTAGAAGTGAATGAGAATAAACACTCCATGTGGCAAAACTGAATAAAGCTACTTAGAAAGAAACTTAAAGAGTTACAACATATTTATCAGAAAATAAAGCTTAGAAATACACATGTTCACACAATTATAAAACTATTTGGAATCAGTTTATAAATGTGCTTCTTTACTGGGTGATATAGTTTTTACAAAATGAAGGGTGCTTACCAACATGCCACTGAGCCTGAGTCGAGTCTGTGGAGTCAAACAATCTGAGAGGGAAAAATATTATGAGACTAAGCTTACACTGCATGCCTGTCTCCCAAATAACCCTGGCGATTCTAAGGCAACAGTTGAGTTATACTGTCAGATACTGAAATTGTAAGAGTAACTGGCTTTGGAAGTCAAAGTTTCATTTAACACACACACACACACACACACACACACACACACACACACACTCTTTCATTCTCTCCCACTAATTTCTCAGGATTTCTAGGTATAGAGAAAAGGCAGGTGTCTATTTAGGTTCTTGCTCTCAAACTTCTATCAACAATCTTTTTTATACAAGAGATCTCATGATTTGGAAAAAATAAAATGTAATAGATCTATCTGATAAATAAATACAAATAAAGGATCCTTGAAATAGCATAGCATAGCACAGCATAGCACAGCACAGAGGTTCTGCACTGTTTCTATAAGGGATGTATAAATATGAATGCTGAGGTGAGACTTGAAGGAAGGGATCAGTAGCATCAGAGGCAACATAAAATGGTACAAGCAGGTTATCTAGATGAAAAGTAAAAGAACGTTAGAAAGGTTAAAAGTCTTTTTTTTTTTGTTCTATTTTTTGGTACTGGGGATTGAACTCACGACTGCGAGCTTGAAAGGCAGGCGTCTATGCCACTGAGCTAAATCCCCAGCCCAGGTTAAAAGTTTTGTTCATGTGTGGATGAACAGAAATCTGCACAGTACTGTAAAATGAGACAAAATTCCTTGGTAAATAACTAAATTTATGGCTGATTTATGCTCAAAAGTAAAATCTTCCTAACATCGTGAGGAGAGTGGTCAATTTTAGTTACACTACATTGTTAACAAAGCTGCATGGAGGGTGAGAGGTAAAATGTGAGGAAAAGGCCATATCATCATTCAACACATGAAAATGTAAAGAATTACGATGGTCAGTAATACTGTGGCCAGTTTTTAACCAATCTAATTCAGTATGATTTCCACTTTGTAATTTGTATCTGAAGTATTGAATTTTTAACTTCATTTACAAGAGAAAGGTCCTAGAAATGAGAACCTGTCATCTTCATATAGATTCTTTCATAAGACAAATGTATGTATTTTTTATAGGGAGAGAGAAGTAAAGTCCCTATTATTAGGGACGCTGGGAGGGATTATACCAACTAGCAACTATTGTAAACTACCAAAACATACCTGTGGCTACTGCAGGAGCAATTTACCATGAGTACAATTAAGCTGAAAAATTCATCCACCAAATGTAAAACTATAAATAATCCATTAACAAATCAACAAACTGATACCCTTTGTGGGGGGCAGGAGTTACTGGGAATCCCACCCGGGGCCTCACCCTTGCCAAGCAGGCACTGTGCCACTGAGCTACATCCCTGGCCCGATAGCCTTTCGTGTCTAAAATAATGAAAAAGGTAAACACTTACTAAGGTAAAAGAACTGCAATCTTGGGTTTATATTGTAGTCTCAAAACATGAACTGATTATTTACTAAAAATCACTTCGAGTAGCATACTAAAATTAACACCTGAAATTTAAATGTCAGTCTTTTCATTTTAACAAAATAACAAATAAAATTACCTCCTTCTTTAGAACAGAAAGTGATCAGCCAGCCAATACCAGCAGCAAAAGCAGTTTGTATGGAGTTAACAAAATTCCCTTAAAAGAAAATAAAGCAAATTTGTAATCACTTATTACTCAATAATGGAAAGTCTTCCAAATGACTTTTTTCCTAATCCCACCCTTTTCCAATCCATTCTGAACATACTATCTGTTACCTTTCTAAAACTCTTCTTGAACATGTCAAACCCTTCACTGGCTCCCCAAGTCTTTTATCACATCAAACTCATATCCAATATGTCCTTAAGAAGAATACTACAAGCCGGGCGTGATGGCTCACGCCTGTAATCCCAGCACTCGGGAGGCTGAGGCAGGAGGATCATTGTGAGTTCGAGACCAGCCTGGGCTACAAAGTGAGCTCAAGGCCAGCCTGAACTGCATGGCGAGACCCTGTCTGAAAAAGACAAAAACAAAAGAAGAGAAAAGAAGGAAGAAGAAGGAAGAAGAAGGAGAAAGAAAAAAGAAGGAGAAGGAGAAGGAGGGGGGGAGGAGGGAGGAGGAGGAGAAGAGAAGAAGAAGAAGAAGAAAGAAGAAGAAGAAGAAGAAAGAAGAAGAAGAACAAGAAGAAAACTACAAGTGGCAAGAAGGCCCCTTGTGGTCTAAGTGCTGTCTGCAGCCATCTTTCTTTCCATACTACTCTACTGGTTAATAATTTTTTTTTGCCAGATTCATGAAATACTATGAGTTCCCAAACTTGATACTCTCTTAAGGCTTCCAGTCTGTTTCCATGGGAGATTGGGTATGACCTCTTTTGAGAAGGATTTTCTAACTTTTCCTTTTTCCAACAGGATTGTTTCATGTAATTTACTTATGCTTTTCTAAGCTGACCTCTATCATAATTTTGTTACAACAGAACCACTGTACTGTAGTTAGTTACTAGTTCTTCCGCATTACAGTAATGAAGTTACTGATGGCAGGGATCACTTAGTATGGCTGTCTGAGTGTTTAATGTTTCGGACACACAATTTGGTATTCATGAAAGAAACATCCCTTTAGCCATGAACACTATCATTTCATGGACAGTTTTCAGAGTAAATAACCAGCCTGGCATAAAGTGATAAACAAAAGATGATTCTGAACATCAACATTAAACTAGAAAACATGAATTTACTATCTGTAAAAACACACAATGGTGAAAAAGATTCAAGACATTATATACAGGTACAAATTCCCTATCTTGAATGTGATCATTATGTATATCAAAAGTGTATCTAAAATTAATTAAAACTACACAAACCGAAACCCAACATTTGGATTATTAAATAGTAGCATTTGAAAGATACCTTTTAGTCCCACTCGTCCACTTCCCACATCCTGATTGTTTTAGTTTTTATGTATAACTAGTTTGTTATATACCTCCTTCCAGCAGAATCAGAGAAATGATGCAATTCCCTTTTTGAAAGCATGGGAAAATTTGTTAAGACTCTCAGTATTCTGACCCAAATGTTGACACATGTAAATATTTTAATGCTGCCAATGCAAAAGTATCCTTGAAAATGAAGCAGATTAAAAAACAAGATTACCTGTTGAAAGTTCTGTCACTGAGCTTCTCACATGCTGCATGGCAAAGTTCACTAGACTCTCCTTTGATCTGTCTCCATGATATTTCACTGAGGCCTATTAGTTTTTATAAAAGAAACAACTTTTACATTTTCTTTTTAAACCTCACTAAAATGATACCAAATACTTTGATTTTACATTATTTTGAATAATTCAGTGAAGTTCTATCCATTTGAAGTGCATTTCCAAACGATACTCTGAATCTATCATACACAGAATACAGTTTAATTCTATTTATAAAATAGTTTTGTTTCATTATTGGAAACTGGGAAAAAGACTAGAATTTTAATTCAATGAAAGTATCTACAAAATACTTTGCAACCTATAAAGCACAATATGCATAGTGAAGAAATTATGTCCATTAGCAAACATTTAATTTTAAAATACAGCAAGGTCATAGCATATACAGACTCATAAAATAACCCAGTGTTCTATTATTAATAGTTAGATGGCACCTAACATGAGACTTACACTATATAAATTGTTTTGTTGTATTTTCTCTAGTATTCACTTGTTACAAAGTTCCGCAAAACTGGAAAATGCTAATGCTACTGCTTACCATTCCAGACCTAAAGATGAAGAGGCTTGGATAACTGTTCACTCCTTTCATTCGGCAAAGCATTCTATCATCGCCACAGTTCACAGCTCCAATGCGAAGTAACCCATCCACTTCTTTAGCAAATTCTCGCCACTATGAGAGAGAAGTGTAAATATTTCTCTGCTAAGATCACTTTCCTCTACATGAATATACTGAGTTACATAGTCTTTAAAAAGTCTAGACTGCCCTTGGACCTGCAGCGATCTTCCTGTCTCAGCTTCCCTAGTGCTGGGATTACACATATGGTCGTAAAGGGCAGAATTTTTTATTGAATAAAACCATCCATATGTAAAAGTACTTCGATATTTCTGATAGTTATAATCACTATTAGTAAAAAATCTCAACATATTAAAGAGAAAATATGCACAAGTAACAGATCAATGAGAAATAAAACTTTCATAATATGAATATAAATACGTACAGTGGGGGCTAAATCATGGCAATGTGAACATCCCGGGGAATAAAAATTTACAAACCACAGTTCTCCAGAGTTAACAGCAGCATCTAAAAGCACACAAACAGAATTACTTTTTTACTAAGGTTAATGCATGTTTTAGTTTAAAAACTTTTTGTTGAGATCAGAATGGTAATATGTAGTCATGAATCTTTCAACACCGTCATTTTCTACAAATTTAATGAAAGCTTTAAATGTCAAAACAGTAACTTTAAAAATACTCTCTTAAGCCCATACTTAGGAGACAAGCAGCCTTGAATTAAAAAACAGAGCCAGGAAGCTCTACAATGGGTGGCATGAAGACACAGTAGCCAAAGTCATCGAGGGGGCCATGCAGATGAGAAATGATGAGCAGCAGCCCAGAGTGACGGCCCGCCCCTGCCACTGCCTTTCCCGGGCAGTCCCGAGGGACTGTGCACTTCAGAGGCTCCAAGACACACAGCAGAGACCCACACGCCATCACAGACGGTGAGGGCTTTGGGGATTACCTTTCACCTCTGCTCCCACAAAGGCACTGTCACTGGAAAACCATACTGACTGAGAAGTATAAAATTAAAGTTTTCATTACTTTAAAACACTAATACATAGTTGCTAAGACAATAGATTTGAACACTATACAGTATTAGCCACCAATGTATTATATGATCTGCGAAATAACGGTGCAAAATTAAAAAAAAGTCATTCATTTTAAAAGCTCAACGTTATGAGGATGTGCTCTACTATTCAGGACAAAAGGCAAAGACAACATGCTGTGGGTTAAAGGTTTTCACATACAGGAATTCCATATCAGAATCAAATGAAACTTGGTAAATTACAGTAAAAAGTCAAAGCATTCATACATTGCTAAGTATATGCAACTGATTTAGGTTAGTTAGCAACATATATAGGACTCACCACTTCCTGACAATTCAATGACAAGCAAAGCAGCTAATCTGTACATTACGGGCAATGTATGTAACTTAGGACTTTATCAAGTGTTCTCTGTCAATATTTAGAAATTCTAACAAATAGATCGCTCTACTTTGTTTTCACAGAGCACTTCTAACATCTTATTCAGTAGACTGTTGAATAGAATATTTCAAAATATTTAGCCCTAAATCCTACAACTACAGTATTTCTTAGTATTATACAACTACAATAGCTTTTGCTTATACAGAAAAATATGACAATGTAGGAAGTGCTTTCAATTCTCTCTTGAGCCACTTTTAAAAGAATGCTGGGATTATGTGATGCTGTTTGTAAGCACTTGTATACACACACAATGTTCCTTTTATTGCAAATGTATAATACCTAAAACTTGATTATAACTGATATGTTACTGTATAGTAAGGTAAAGCACACCTGAATAGCATCGGATATCAATTTTGTTTTGTTTGATATGCTACTGTATTGTAACTCTAAAAGGTTAATTTGGACACATGAAATGGAAAGGATGAGAACATTTTTTAAATCTCTGAAACTAGAATTTATTAATCACAGCTTCCTTTCTGTTCTAAAATTGAACATTTTAGGCTACCCAGTCAAAGTGAATTACACAATTTAAACTAATTCTCTAACAACTGGAAAACGGGACAAAATATAAAAACGCTCTGCTGAAAGCACTAGAGAGGTAGGGATGCAGTGAAATTTAGGGGCCAAGGTATGGGAAAAGGTCGTCTCCTGAGAAGAGGCAGCTGACAAGTCAGCAAAGAGATTTCACATGGTTCCCTGGGCTAGAAGGGCAAAGGGGCTGGGAGACAGCTCAGTGGCGTAAGCGCCTGGCCTGGCAAGTGTGAGGTCCTGAGTTTAATTGCCGGAACCAACAAGGAGAAAAAAAAAAAAAGACAAAAAGAACTAAAAGGGAATTTGGGGCACATTTAAGGAAGCATTCTGTGAACACAGGTGAAATGGAAAGAGATCAGTTTCTCAACAGTTTCTGTTTTTTTTTTTTTTTGTCAGTACCGGGGATCGAACTCACGACCGCCTGCTTGCAAGGCAGGTGCTTATGCTGCTGAGCTAAATCCCCAGCCCCTTTCAACAGTTTCTGAATTCCTTTACTATTTGCATGAAGCTTGAGATTGCTGGTGACCTCACCAGAACATGTTAAGTCCTCACTAAAGAAAGAAAATATATGAAATAACCAGTAATAAAAAGAGACCCATAACTAAGCAGTCTCATGTTGCTATGTACACATAAGCTTCCTTCTGCCTCTTCAACTGCAACTTCAGGGTCATCTGCTCTCAGTCTAGTAAATACCAATAGTAGATTTAGAGATCAATGGAATGGTGGAAATATGCACTGAACCTACCAGAATCAGTTAATTATTCTGAATCACCACTACTGGCTCCCAACTGTAATTATTTGAATCTACCATTTAGAGTTCTATGTGAACTATGAGCAGTTTTTAGGCTCTTTTGTGGTGACACACCCAGAAAAGGTGGAACCCACACGCTATGTAAGTCATTACACGCTATGTAAGCCTCATTCTAGTTGAACTCATGGATTGGTCTGCAGGTTTTGTTCAGTTCCTCGGACGGTATCTATAGTTCCAATGTGTTTTTTTTGACCCTGTTGGCCTATGAGACACACACTGATACACTAGATGAGTGACAATATGCACACAAGAAAAGCTATAGGTTCACATGACATACTATGAAATTATGATTCCAACAGTTTGTGCAATGGCATTAGTTTTATCTAATAATACAAATAAACCAAAATTTCCTATTTTCATTGTAAGGAATATATATTTTTCTGTTCACTTAAGTAGAATTTGTTCAAGTGTTCACATTAAAGATTTGTAACACAGTAGTAAAAAGACTTTTTAATACCTGGGCTCACCCATATAAAAATTTAGAATAAAAGGTAATTCTCATTTAGAAGAAACAAACTGTAAAACCAAGTGGTGGTAAAATATCTTGTATCATGGTAACACAGAAAAAACATTTTCCAAATATATTTTTTGCAACTGGTATACTAATTTTCTAAACTAAATGACTGTAAAATATAGTAAAATAAAACTGGAATCCCATTGAAACTGGAATTTTGTTTGAAGCTGAAAGGAATATAATTATTTAATCACTACATAAAGCCTAAAAATTTAAAAATTTAATTTGGTTTTTAAATTTTCCTATTATGCAATGGAAAATGTAGAACTGTATTCTTATATCCATTTTCACACAAATCATGGATCACATTAAATGTTTCTAAAATAATCACATACTGACCTAAAACTCTGAAAATCAAAAACCTTTAAAACTGGAGGTGTTCTGCACGTATGGAGCATGCCGACTTGATATTCAGACTTGGTCTGAACTGCTATGGGCTATATTTTGTTCTATTTCTTTTACTTGGTATACACACTTACAAATTTTCTGCAGCAACAGTAGTGCTTTTATTTTGGTATACTGTCTCACAGGCTGCTGGGAACACGGTTTAACAAACAGCACATACCTTTCTAACTTCCTCAAAATTTCTTTTTGGAACATATTTGGATCCAACAGTACTGGATAATTGAACTTGCGCTAGTTTTAGAAAATCAACATAAACTTACCAAATTCTCTTCTTTCCAGTGTTATGATTTCAGGATCATCATCATAAATACCTAATTTAAAAAGTGCACAGCAATTATTAAAATTCCACATAACCTACCATATAAAAATTGACTATTCACTCAATAATAAAAAAAAATTATACTAATTCTCAAATCTAAATAATATGCAACAAACTGAGAATAAAACCAACAGTAAACAATATTCTTGGGGATACATTTAAATAGTTTCCTGGCAACAACCTGCTATTGCTAAGTTAGTAAGCAAACAGGTACATAATATTCATGTACTTTCATCTCTACAAAAGCTTTTTACAATTTTTAAACTATTTAAAAATAATTAAAGACTTGCTGGAAATTGCAAAAATAAGACTCTCATGTACTCTCTACCCCATGTGCCCTTCGTAGTGATGTTAGCTACTTATAATACAATGCCAAAACTGAGAAATGGAGTGCCTATTACTGTTAATTGGGTTATTTTCAGGTTACATGGCTTTTATTTTTTATACATGGTTTTTAGTTAGTCTAGCACGTTAAAATATTTTTCTCTGCCAATAAACTTGTAATACAGGTAGATAAATAGTAGCAATTATAAATTTTAGGTACCATAATTAAAAAACAAAATCAATGTGAAAAAATTCTCATTATTATGTAAAATATCCAAGTAAGATTGATGGATAAAAACAAGGGGTCAGCAAACTTCTGCAGAAGTCATTAGTATTTCGGGGTTTGTGGGATGTATGGTTTTTGTCATTCTCAACACTCAAACTGTGAAAGAAGCCACAGACAGTATGTAAACAAATGAACGCAACTGTATTCTGATAAAAACTTAGTCTTGATGGGCAATCGCTCAAGAAAGAAATGTAAAGTATTTTATTTAGTCTAGTATAAAAGCCTTTTTAGACCGATCTGAGCGTAATGAATGACGATGATGAATGCCGGTTATCTGAATGCACCCTCTGCCTGGGTACTTCCAGCTACATTTTTCTGTCCCTTGGTGCTTTTAATGCGGCTCCTCCTCTTCCTTGCCTCACTTCTTATTCCTGTCAGCCACGTGAGAAGGACAGCACTTCCACTGAAGCAGCCATTTGATTTACAATTTAGCTTTTGCTTGGAAAATCCAAAGTTCAAGTTTGAAAGGCTTCAATATTTAACTTTTTCTCATGCAAACATATATATTTTTATTAAACAGAAATTCTTATTTTAAAAATATTAAGATTTAATCAATACTTATTTCTGTATAATTAATCCCTGTTTACCAACTAACTTCCCTTTAAATTTCATTCCCATGACAAATTAAAAAGAGCTAATCAAGGAGACGCATTAACTTTTCTTCCACTCAGAGAAAAGAAAAACTTCACAAGTAATATGGCACCTTACCAAAATCGTAACGATAATAGTTCCAGCTTTCATACTGGCCTCCTTGGTTATCTTCAAGCCCCTTCTCTCCATATTTATCATACTTTTTCCGTAGATCTTCATCTTTGAGTACTTCATATGCTCTATTTATTTTTAAGAAATCACCATGTGCATTTGGATTGTTCTGTGAAAAAACAAATATAAGTTATTTCAGATACACAATCCAAATTTCTTCAAAACCTTGATACAGTAAATACATTATTTCAGAGATATGCTGGCTAGGAGATACCAGCATACAGCGGTAGAGAAATGTGATACAAATTATCTTGGAATACAAAAAAAAGTATTTTCTAAGGCACTATTTAAAAATAAAAAACAAAAAAACAAAGAAAAGTAATAGAAACTAAGAATCTACTCTTCAAAAAGGTTGACATGCTCGTGTGATTTAAGTTATGTGATTCAAGTCACTCCTTAAAAATGCAGCAGAGATGCTGAAATTCTTAATTTTAAAAATATTTGTTACTTCTGAAATGAAGAGATTTGTAGGCTATTTTTAAGCAAAATCAATAAATTAACTAAAAAAACCCACACTCCTATTTACCAGAAAATTAAGTAAGTGCCTGGGTTGTAATTCAAAACTGGTTTAGAAATGTTCCTTTATTATTTCTAAGGATGCTTTAATGTAAGTAATTCTTAGATATCAGCCTCTCATTGTTACATGGGAACTCAAATTTTAAAAGAAAAAACTAAAAATCCTAAATAAAAAACAGATCTGAGGGAATAAAGAAACAAGAATGGTTTTGTGTGTGTGTGTCCTTTGTGTTATTAAACCCTGGGCCCAGGGTCTCTGCACTGAGCCCTTTAAATATTTTTAAAATTTGATCTAAGTCAATAAGTTCCTTAGGCGGAGGTCCAACTTGTGATACTCGTGACTCAGCTTCCCAGAGTGCTGGGATTACAGTGTGAGCCATCACACCCAGCTATAATTGAGTTTTAAGGAAGTATTATTTTAATTGTTCAATTTTATAAACTGATATAAATCCATTAAAAAAAATTCTTCCTAGAAAAAACTGTAACCTAACCATGTCCTTTTCAATATTAGAGCAAAATCTCATTAAAATACCATTAAATTTGAAAATATTTAGTTCTAAAGATTATCAGCCACACAAGTATTTTAAACTGAAGGTATACTGGGGTGCTCTCAAGTTTTAAGTAATCAAACTTCCCAGAGTTGGGGATACAGCTCAGATGCAGAACATTTACCCAGAAGGGTCCTAGGTTGAATACCTAGTACCAAAAGCAAAACAAAAAAACCTGAAAACAAAACAAAACCAAAAAAAACCCAAACGAACAGTAACGACAACAAAAAAACCTAAACCAAAAAAGTAAAACAACTTCCTAACTCTGGTCTGTGCACATGAGCTTTGTAAAATAGTTAAGCATGCTATCATTAGCTATTAGTATTATTTTCAGCAAGATGTGCCCTGTGAATTCTAAGGAAATACTGTTGTTACTATTCTAAAGTACTTGATCTCAATCTATTTTCCTATGAAAAATAATGCAAAGACATTATGGTTTTGGGATTAATATCTTTAAAATGTCTCTGGGAAATGAGTTTACAAATTAAGAGGCAACTGCATATTTGTTACTAACATTCCTTTGTACTACTCCAAAAAGAACATTTTGCTTCTTCTGTTTTTAGAATACCAGTTTGAACGAGGATTTTTACCATGCGATTAGTTGTAAGCATTCTGAACCCTTATTTAAAATAAATATCCAAATGTACCAAAATGCAATAATCACATAATGTAAAAAACATTTTACCTACCGGGTTTTTATCAGGATGTAACTTCAACGCTAATTTCTTAAAAGCTTGTCTTATTTCTCTACTGGTGGCAGTTTTGGATACTCCAAGTAAACTGTAAAAATCCTGATCTGTGTCCACTAAAACGGCCATAAACACTATCAGGAGACAGAGACTGACCCTTCTTAGGTCTCTGACATAGCCATTTTTCTTTAACCAGACTCCCATTCTCCTTCTTATACAAGTTCTGATTTAAGTGAACACAAAAATATGATGCTGGGTCCAGCCGATAAGATACACTAATCTTAGAACTTCAATCCACATTACTTCCAGGGTGAATCAAGCAGTGCAAACTCGTCTCCAAACATGTTACTTTAAAGAGAAAAAACCAGGTAGTTAGAATATATTCCAAATTCAAAAGCAACATTATTTATCAAATAAAAATAACACTATCACAATACCTGCCACACTACCGACCCCGTTAAATACTAAATCAGTGTCAACACCTCAGATCTATTCACTGGGCCCCTTCTTCACTACGACGATATTCAAATAGCCAGATTTGTGAAATCATTCAAGATACCAGATAGAAGGTGGGGGTAGCTGCTACTGAGAATACTGAAATTAACACAACAGGGGAAATTTATCAGGCGACAAAGTCTGATTAGCATCAGTACGCCAGGGTAGAAATAAACTGTTTCCTTCCTCTTTCTACTGCTTGAGTTTTCCTTTTTTGGAACACTTCTTCCTTTTAAGCACCCACTAAAGTTACTCAGTTTTCTTTTTAAATTAGATCTCATTGGTAATACGTGTTCTTTGCACAGACTCGAAGGAGACACGATGTTCTTCCAAAGGGTCTGTACTTTTCACTTGACTTTTTAAAAAGTGTCAGTGGATTACACTGTTATAGTCGTTAACTTTCTTAGAAAACTGGGCAAACTTCCCTGTTTTCTAAGGTGCTTACACTGAATGAAACATGGTGGCTTATAAAAACAGAACAGTAATTCCAAAAATTAACTTTACTGCAAAGTTCACGTTTAGTATTAGCAAAAGTAGGAAAAAAAACTTAAAAAGAGTAAGGAATCAGTTATGCAGACACTCTGGAGAGTAAAAAAAAAGTCATTACTTTACCCTATTAGACTGGTTCAGCTCTTGAGATGTCATACTTTTGAAAAATCTACCTTTCCTTGCATCCCCGGTTTCACCTTTCATTTGATCTCGCGTCTATTTTTAAACATTTCTTGGTACCTTTGAATGCTCTATTTATCTTACAAAAACGACCTTCCGACAGTTCACTGTTGGGGCGTAAGCAACAGCCAGCCAGCAAACCCCAACCTGGGGAGCCACGACCCCGCGGGGGCCGGATCGCTGCCGGCGCGGGGTGGCGGGGGCCGGGCCCAGGGCCAGGTGAGGGCCGCAGGTCCGTCGGCCTCTACGCCGCTTCTCTCGGGCAGAGCGGGGACAGGGCCTCTCACAGGGGTCGGGACGGGACGGCCCTGCGTGTGTCCGGAGTCTTGAGACGCAGCAAAGCGATAAACCGGAGCAGGAAGCCGCCGGGCGGGCAGGGGAAGGGTGGAGCACCGCGGGGAGGAGGGCGCGGAGGCAGGCGAACCCGACACACTGCCGCGGGGTCGCGGATGCCCAGGCTCAGCTCTCCGTCCGCCCCTCTCCTCCCGGAGCGCCCAGGCCACCGCCGGCCGTCCGGCCCGCGCCCACCTCGCTCTCGCCTCCGCCAGCTACTCCCACATGCCGGTCAGCCGCGGGGGACACTGCTCAGCCAGCGAGCACGCGCTGCTCACGCCGGAGCACCCTCTCTGCGACGCGGCCGCCGGCAGAGCGAGCTCGGGCTGGGAGGACGCACAGCGCAGCCGGCCGTGAAGCCCGCGCCGCCAGCGCCCGGTGCGGTTTCCACGGGAGCGGGGGCGGGGCCAGCCGCGGGGCATTGTGGGAGAGGCGTGCAGGCAGCGGCGGCGGCGTGAGACCGGCGGCGGCCGCGCGCGCACGCGGGCTGGCTGCGTGGGGTGAAGTTGACGTGGCCTTCAGTGCGGGATCCGGCTCCAAGTCCGGGTGCGGCCCGGCGCTGAGGGACGCGCCTGCACGCTCGGCCCACACCCCCTTGGTAAATGTGGCCTGCGCTGGCCGGCAGCGGAAGGAGGACCGGGAGCCCGCCCCTTCCGGCTCCCGTTGCCAGGGTGACGGCGAAACGGAGAGTGGTTTCTGCGGTGCTCAAAACGGAGGCAGGATGTGTTCACGGTTGGTGGGTGGCGGACCTCAAAAGGAGATATTTGGCTGAGGAAGGGGAGCTAATTTGAACTTACACTGATTGCATCGTCAGCCTAGAGCACCGCGTAGGCAGAGGGATATTTGCAAGAAAAAAAATTACCGATCTTGTGTGAGCATGTCAACAAACATTTGAGCATTCTAGAGTTATTTTCTGATTTTTGGGGTCATACAAACTAGAATATTAGGACGTTATCCGTATGTTCCTCAGCGATACAGAATCAGGGCAAGCTGTATTTTTGACACACGCTATTGCAACAATTAAAGTAACTACATTTATAACTATCAGAGTCGCAAATGTCAAGATGAAGCTGATACCTGGTTATATGAACCCTGACATGAAATAAATTGTTTATAAATTGCCTTGGATTATTAAATTTTATTAATATATAGGATCCATGACTAACCTAATACATGGTAGGGAAGACGAGGACGTAGAATAAAAACGAAGGGAGAAATACTAGAAGCAGATACTAGATGTAGAAGTTGTGATACTTGTGAACAAGTCTAAGCACCATGTATTAGTTCTCCAAGTAATCTTGTAAGATGGGGACGTTATCTTACTGATTTCACGGTTGAAAAAGTTGAGAGAGTATGTGTTAAAACTTAGATTCCTATCTAAGCAATTTGCCTCCGGAAATTAAGATACTAATCATTATGTGTTACTCTAAACCAACAATATTCTTAGCAAATTCAAAAGTGAAGCAGACAACTGGAGAATTAATTAGGGGCCAGACTTCAGTTTTTTATGTCATGATGAAGACACAGACTACTGTTTGGGTGATGAGGAAGCTTTCTAAAACTTTTAAGGGACTGAGATTGTATAGGGGTAACTACTGGAGAAGATACAAAGCAGACCCAATGGGAAAAAGGAGAGCGTTAAACGGAGAGTGCTAGAGAGGTTGAACGTGGCAAGCAATTTATCAAAGTTCTTTTCTGTTCTCTGGGAGACCCTACGTAGGTCCTGTGGAGATCTCTGAACTGAAGAAATAAAACGATAGGGACACAATTTTTCAAACATTTATATTTATGAAGGGAACATACTTGGTGCTGTGAGAATGAGTAACATGAAATGATCAACTTGTCGGGGCAGAAGTTTAGAAAAGGTTTTCCAAAAAAAAAAAAAGATATTTGATAGCAAGATCTGTGTGTTAGTGATGCTGCATACTATCAGAGTTCTGTTGCTTCTTGATAGACAAAATTAGGGGATGAATATTCATGTACAGACACACATGCTCACATTTACATATATAAAGATATTGCTGCAGGAGAAACGTAGCTCCCAACCTACTAGATGTTGACATGCTGAGTTTGTGCCTCTTGAAATCGAAGAATGAATTCCAGACAAAGGAGGTTAAGAATAGGAAAGGTTTATTGGAGAATGGGAATAGCTCCTAAGGCATAGAAGAGGTCCCGAAAGTGGGTCATTTCTCCAAGAATGTTTCATAGGGCAAAATAACTATAGTCAATAGGATCACAAGTATAACCCCTTAGCTAATATTAATGCAGTAGGGAATTGGGACATGTAGCATTAGACTTGGCTTACCTATGGCTTCTAAAACAGGAACATTTTGGGGGAAGGGATGGGTCCAAGTGTGCTGGTCACACACCCAGGTGTCTGATATATATCTGAATTTAATGGACAGGGTGGTACTAATTACAGCATACGCTCAAATTTTCATTCATCCTTTCAGGAAATATGAAAGTCTCACTTTGTGACTTTAATCTTGCAGCCTTCTTCAGGTGCACCTCCAGCCACAATTCTGATGTCTCCCACCTTTCACTGACTTGAGAGCTCAGTCTCTTTCTGACTGTATATTAATTTTTTAATCAAACTTAACTCCATATAATACTATAAGTTTACACTGGTACTTTCAACTGCAGTGTAATGCTACAGGAGTCAGGTTTTATTAACTTTATATTTCTTCCTTTCCATACATGTAGCATTTTTCTCTGCCAGTGAATCTTTGATGTGCTCATTTGCTCAGATCCCCAATCTGTTCCTAATCTCCCCTTGCTTAGCCAGCCTCTCCCTGGTGCATTTGCTGTCCTTATCATGCTTGGTTGGGTTCCACACCTTATGCTGACCTGCACGCTTGAGCAGGTGTTCTGCTCACTCCACAGGTTCCTGCCTGTGCCAGGCTGTCCTCTCACAGTGACCCTCGCCCTGAGAGGGCTCCGACAACAGTGACTGTTTTCCTTACTTACTGGACACTCTACTCACTTTGATTGATCTCTGATACTGAAGCAGCCTCATGTACTGGCTTTTGGTCTGAATAAATGGGCTGTGATTTTCTTATAATTAAAGCTAAACTTTGAAGATTATATTGGAAGAAAACAACAGTAGATATAAGGAAACTGGCTAGGAGACTGGTCATTGATGGTGTAAGGTGGATTTAGTCACATATTGAGAAATAAACAGATTCAAAGAAAAAGTAAGTCTCATGTTTGTTGCAGCACTATTCATAAAAACCAAGAGGTAGAGACTACCTAAGTATCTCATGATGACCAGATGAGGAAAATGTGTTATAAATGTAATGGCATATTATTCAGACATAGAAAAGGGGGAAATCCTGTCATTTGTGATAACATAGATGAAGGCAGAGGAGACTGTTAAGTGAAATAAGCCAGACAACAAAAAGCAAATACTGTATGACTTTAATTACTTGCGGAACCTTACAATGTTGAATAGATATAGGATATAGAACAATGGTTCCCAGAGTTGGGATGGCGTTAAGGGATACAGGAAGATGTTGGTCAAAGGGAACAAACTTTCAGTTGTAAAATGAATATATTATATTCTCAGGTTCTCGTGTTCAGCATGCTAACTATAGTTCATACCATATTGTCTGCTTAAGAGAAGATTATAAGTGTCCTCACACTGACACACAGACAGACATACACACATTCACATACAGTAACTATGAGTATTTTATGAGTGTTGGAGATACTAATTCAACTATGATATTTAGTGCATAATGTATACATTTTGAATATATACAACAGTTGTTATTTAAATAGTTTCAAATAGAAGAGAAACACTTTATGTGATTTCCTAATTATGGTGAGTGTCGTAGTGAGGGTTCACAAGGGAAAAGATTTAAAAGAGGATATATAATTCACAGGATTATTTTATAATATTCACCCAAAGAGAATGCAGAAGAGATCAGGCAATCTGTCCACACACTAGCGACCCAAAGAATCCAGCTGAGGCCCTGGATCTCATTGCAATGTCCTGCACGAGTCCAGGCAATGTCTCCTGCAAGTCTGTATCAAGGATCTGCACTGGGATGGCCCGAAGGTCGGTCATGGAAACTAGACAATCTACACCAGTAGGATGAAGAATCTGTGCCAATAGCCTGAAGAACTGGCACTGGAGCCAGGAAGTGACCCTCAAAGTAAGGACCAGAGCACCCCAAAAGAGAACCATGGCCATCTTCAGTGACAGTGAGGACCCAAGCTCCAACGATGAAAACAAATGAGGTCCTATCAGGAGAGTCAGGCTGACTCTACAGGAGAATCAGCAGCACGTGACCTTCCCCTTCAGTTCTCCCTTTATGTTGTTGGCAACAATCTTCAGGTCAGCCTTCCATACCCAGCACTGTGCTGACTCAGTTCAGCTGGATGTTACAAGTTTAACATTAGTTAATCTACCACAGTGGGGAAAAGAAAGATATTTGAAGATATACCTGTACTTCAGATGTCTCATATCCGTGGATCAAGACCTTACCAGCCCCAGTTTAATAAATCAGAATGATACAACACAGCTCATCAAACATACATGAGACACGGCAAGGGGACTATTTCATTTTTTAGTTCTATCTAAAACTATTTATCTTTCAAGAACCAACATATGTTTCTTCTGGAAATACATTTTCTGTGAGCCATTCAAGCATATTTTATTGGTTTAACTTTTATTATTGAATGTAGCACAATATATTAAAATTACATTTTATTGATTGGTCTACCAAACTGAATTCTTTCAGATCAGAAAGCTGATTTTATTTTTCCCCCGAATGCCTAGCTATAACAGCACTTGGCTCTTAGTACATGCATTAGGAAGTGAAGAATCAATATTATGTGTAAAGAGGAAAGAGGAGGCCTTTGTACCTAAAGTTACTGTCTAGTGTGGTAAGGGTGGATGAAAACATATTCCCATGTAAAAATAA